CCCGGCCAGCGGCGGACAGGGGCTTCAGAGACTCCCAGCCTGGGTCACACCGCTTTCAGGGTGGTCGGGCCTGCAACCGCAGCCCCCAACTCGGCCTTTGTCCTGGGGCATAGCTGAGTCAGACCTGTCCAGAGGTCTTTTAGATATAGTGGGGTTCCTGACTGGGCCTCGGCCTAGCCATTTGAGCAGTAAGAGCCCCTTTAAAATTGTCTCCCTATTTCAAGCTGACTTAAATACTCCACTTTGTCACAAATCTCTAAGCGCCCACACTTCCACCCCACCCCCTCACCTCTGTCTGCACCTGTTGGCTGCATTCTGAATGAATCGGGCCCCCTCAGATTCAAAGAGACGGCTTTGTATGTAGTCAGGTCTGTCTGGGGAAGAAACCTGGAATCCGTCTCTGACTCCAAGCAGAGAACTGACTTCTGGGCATTGAGTCAGTCACTCTCCTGGGCTTGCCCTCCCTGGCAGTTACTTCTAATTTCAGATAGGATGGAGAAGCTACAGCTCAGATCCAGGTAGGAACAGACTGTCTTCTGTCCCACCCTGTAACAGGCTCAGCATAATCCAATCTTTGGGTTCTAATCCAGGCTGTAGCAGGCTCACTGTGACCTTAGGCAAGTAACTGCCCGTCACTAGCTCCATCATCCCTCTACCAGCTATGTTGTTGGTCAGGGACTTTCCTCTCTTTTGACATTAGTGTTTTTTTTTTTTTTTTAATGAAGTTAAGTTGGAGATTTTATTAGTGATATGTTAATATAGGTTTAAGCATGAGGGTTAGGAGAGAGAAAGTCGGGCATACTCAAGTGTGGAGATGGGTTTCTCAAAGAAGGGTCATGTTAATTATTAATAATTGTAACAGGGTCATGGGTTGAGAGATGGCTCAGAGGTTAAGAGCACTGGCTGCTCTTCCAGAAGGCCTGGGTTCTGTTCCCAGCAATCACATGGCAGCTCAACTGTCTGTGACTCCTGTTCCAGGGGATCTGACACCTCTAGCTCCACAGGTACCAGACATGACTAAGGTGCACTACATGAAGGCAAAATACAACATACAGATAACAGCAGTCATAACTGCTTCCTGACTTTGACCTGAGCTCAGCTCCACCCAGAGCGCTAGACTTTGCCCAGCTTCAAGGCAGATTATATTCCCTGCATGTCCCCCCCCCCTCGGGTCGCTCCCAGAACTTCACTTGATAAGGTAATTCCCTGAGTTCAAAGACTGACTTGGTTTCTTGACTTATAGCCTCATGCCACACATTGATCTTATTATGCTTGTTTTGTAGTTCTTTGTCTGCAAAGAAACCCTTATTTAATACCTAGAAATGCCATAGTGGCTGGAAACCTGTCTTCTTCCCCAACATCCGGCTCATAAAATGCCCAGAAATTTGGTTTGAAACAAATGCATAAATCATTTACTCCAAAAATCTTGGTTGGGCTTTATTTTTTGAGACAGGTTCAGCCCAGGCTGGTCTCACACTTGCTATGTAGCCAAGGGTGACTTTGAACTTCTGATTATCCTGCCTCCTCCTCCCAGTCACTGGGATTATAGGTGTGTGCTGCAATGCCTACCTTACTCAGGACTGGGGATCAAACCCAGGCTTTCTGTATGCTAAGCAAGCACTCTACCAACTGAGCTACAACTCTAGCCTAGTCCCATGATCTTGTGAAGTTAGCACCCTCATGTCTCTCTTCCACATGAGATTCAACAGGTGTTGAGAGAGAGTAACTCCTCAGGTAACATCAGGGCCTCAGAGTTCATCTCACCTTCTTGATGTTTCATTCTAGGATCTTATGCTGAAAGACATTTCCAAAGTATCTTGTGTCAAACTACAACTCTGATCTCCACAGCCTGAAAAGGAGTCACTGTTAGCTTGTGGAGGGGTGACCTGAACCAGTTCAGTATCTCCTTTGGTCCTGTGAACTTGATCTCCATGGCACACCGGCTGCAGATGCGTCTGCTGACATGGGATATGAAGGATACCCTGATCAAGCTATGCCGTCCTGTTGGGGAGGAATACGCCAGCAAGGCCCGGGCCCATGGGCTGGTGGTTGAAGCCACAGCCCTGGAACAAGCCTTTGGGCAGGCATACAGGGTTCACAGCCACAACTTTCCCAACTATGGCCAGAGCTGCGGCCTTACCTCCCGTCAGTGGTGGGTGGACTTGATCCTAAACACCTTTCACCTAGCAGGGGTCCCAGATGCCCAGGCCATTATTCCCATTGCTGATCAGCTATACAATGACTACAGCAGCCCCTCCACCTGGCAGGTGTTGGAGGGGGCTGAGACTACCCTGAAGGGGTGTCGTAAGCGGGGTCTGAGGCTGGCTGTGATCTCCAATTTTGACCGACGACTAGAGGATATACTAGTAGGCCTTGGCCTTCGGGAACATTTTGATTTTGTTTTGACTTCTGAGGCTGCGGGCTGTCCTAAACCAGACCCACGAATTTTTCATAAGGCATTGCAACTTGCTTGTGTAGAACCTGCAGTAGCAGCTCATGTTGGGGATAGTTACCCCTGTGATTACCAGGGGGCTCGGGCTGTGGGCATGCACAGCTTCCTGGTGGTAGGCTCAGAGCCTTTAGACTCCTCAGTCAGAGACTCTGTACCCAAAGAACATATTCTGCCCTCCCTGTCCCATCTCCTGCCTGCCCTTGACCTTTTGGAGGCCTCAAGCCCTGTGTCATAAGTCTGATGAGGGAAGTAGCTGGGACCAAATAAACACTGGAAGCACAAAGTCCCTTCTTTCTCCCCCTCTCCTACAGAGGGAGGTGTCTTGGCCCTCCCTCTGCAGCCTCCATAAATTATTCTGATCATAGAACAGCGAAGGTTTAACAGTAGCCTAATCTCTGAAGTCATTCATTATTCATACCTGCATCCCTTTGTATTTATTATTATGATATGGAGTGTGGTGTGGCGGGGGGGGGGGGGGGGGGGGGGGGGGGAGGGTGGGGGGGAAAGAGTTTCAACCATGAGAAGCATGGGATAGAGTTGATCCAGCAAGTGCTGTGTGTACTTGGCTGTCTCACCAGTTCCCTCTGTCCTTTTCTATCATAACCCTTGCTCCATATCCATCGAGGGCCCATCTATTCACAAACATGTACTTTTTGAGGTAGGTTTTCACTCTAGCCCAGCCTGATGTGAACTTACTCTAGTCTACACTGGACTGGAACTCATGATCTTTCTCCATCAGCCTTCTGAATCCTAGGATCACAGGTGTGAGCCACTTTGAAGAGCTAGGGACATGGATCAATAGTAGAGCACTTGTCTAACTTGTAAGGCCCTGGGTTCAAACTGTAGGTATATTCTCTCTTTCTTCTCTTTCTCTTTCTTTACAGCAAGGGCTTGTTGTCACTGGAGATCTGAAACTCCACTGTGCAAAACACAAAATCAAAAAAGCCTGGAGAAGTTGAAATAGAAATCCCCTCCCCAACCAGAGTTAAGACGAATTTGAAAGTCAGAGTGCTGGGCTATCCACTAGCACTCTTGAGAAGAGGACACTATAATTGGTTCTAAAAAGGAACACTGCTGACTTGTGCCTGAAATGCATCAGATACCCTGGTACTGTTTTTTTGTTTGTTTGTTTGTTTGTTTTTGTTTTTTGAGACAGGGTTTCTCTGTGTAGCTCTGGACCCTGTCCTGGAACTCACTCTGTAGATCAGGCTGTCCTTCAACTCACAGAGATCCACCTGCCTCTACCTCCCAGAGTTCTGGGATTAAAGGGGTGCGCCTGCTAAATGCTTTACCTCAAAGCTATACAGGGACAGAGGTGGCATGATCCCCACTTTACATACGAAAAAAACTGAGAGGGTCTCCAAAGGGGGGATTGCACGTCTAAAGATGACATCTAAGGCTACCCAATTACACACATGAACACACACTGTTCTCCAAAGATCTCCCTCCCAGTCACCTTGGGACCACATTTCTATATGGCACCAAGGGACTGAAGCAGAACAGTGATTATTTGCCAACTGGACTTTGTGACCACCTGATTGGTTTTCAAACTGTTCTGTTTGCAGCGTTGAGGATTGAACTCAGGGCTTTTAGCATGCTAGCCATGTGCTCTACCACCGTGCTTTGTCCCTAGTCCTGGCAAGAAGACTATTGTTCTCAGATGAACTCCTCATGGAGGAAATGGCAACGAGACTTGGCCTTGGTTCAACATCTCCAGTAACATCTCTAGGCTCTTTCTGCTAGGTGGAGCCATGACCCACTTATTTCTAAGCAGGTAGCTAAAGCTGTCATGCAGCATGAAGCCAGTTACCAGCAAAACCATCACTAAGTCTTTGGAAACCTTTAATAACACTCAATTCATTCATTAAGGACAGCCCTCCTTTCCCCTCAGCTCTTCTGGCTTGAAGCTCTCCACCTGGGTCTCCACCCTAAGGAAAGAGTCATGATGTGGGGTGCTCATCAGCACGGTGATGGGGGATCACCTTATCACAGGCAGGTCCACATTAGAGCTCAGCCTCAGGGACCGGGACAGATGCCCACAGCTGTGCTGCAAGCACATTTCCTGGAGCTAGGATACTAGTGTCACGGGAGAATGTAGGAGGAGGCCATGACACTTGCAGGCTGGTTTTCTGGTCAAGAGCAGCCTGGCAGGTTGTCCTTTGTGTGCTAGAAAAATATTCTCTCTACTGTGTCATGAAAAAGACCAAGAAATACTGAACTGAGAGGCTAGGGGGACTTCACCACACACTTCTTTGCAGAGAGGCACCTCCAGGGACAGCAGTGCTCCTCCAGAAACTGTCACATCACTGGTCACCTGCCTGCCCAGCCATATACTCCCTTCACTGCACACTAGCCATGCACCAGGCACCATGCTTGATGCCAGAGGCACAGATTAATGAGACCCTTGGAAAGGCACAAGTATGGTGGGCTTGGGAGACTAAGGCCAAGAGAGAAACAGGTTACCCACAGATGACCAAAATCGAAAGGTTATGTCCGAGTAGGAAGCAGATCCCATTTCTGGAAGACCACACAAACCACTGGGGGAGAGGACACTAGCTGGAAGCATGGCCTGACCTACATGGGTGATGGGGAGGTGGTCAGTGAACGATGGAGATGACCTGGTCAGCCACGGCAAAGACTGGGAACAGCGGCAGAGGAAAGCACGTGCGGTGGATATGAAGCACTGTCCCCGAGGCAGGCTCATAGAAGAGCAGCTCTCCTACTTGGAGGTCCAGCACCACGCCCAGCTGTGTTGGGCACCGAAGCAACGCCAGAAGCTCATGCTGTCCATTGTGTGAGAATCGGAACTCTTGATCGTAGCGAGAGAAGACCCAGGAGAAGGCATTGTGGCCCAGACGGCAGTCACTACCAGAACCCTTTCGGGGCAGCTGGACTGAGGCCACACCCACTTTATAAGCACAACTGTGCTGAACATTCACTATCCAGGCATGGAGCCCAGCCTGGAAGCTGGTGGAAGCCAGGGCATTGGGCCAGTAGTCAAAGCGCTCTGGGTCATCTGTGCAAGCCTTGGACTTCTTGGCACTGAAGGTCAGGGTCCTTCGGTCTTCGGACAATTGCAATAAGGGGCTGACAGTCTTTTCATTGATAAGCACCTCCTCCATGCCTGCCAGAAAGAATTCTCAGGGTTGTCCAGGGTCCTACCCCAACTCTATCCTAATCTGGTCCTATCAGGTAGTCAGTGTTGTTCTTACCACTCACTGAGGCCTCACACAAGCCATTTACCCTCCCTAAGCCTCAGATTCTTCATCTTTAAAGTGGGAACCAAATAGGGCTTGTCACACAGGGTAGTCATGAGGACTAGATGAAATAATATGTGTTAAGTGTCTTGTATAGAACACGTGCTGAGTGACTGGAGCCAGAAGAACAGTAGTTATTGTTCTAAAATCTTCATGTGGAAATTCTGATAGAAAGAAGGGCCAGAAAGAAGAAGTGAGTTGCCCAAGTTCCCACATCAAGCTGGTGGTAGGGTCAAATGAAGACCCAGTGTTTTAGTATTCCCCTATCATACTGCTTTCAAGCTGATCCTATCTGTGGCTTCCAGAGCTGATATCATGAGAGCAGAGCCTAGAAACTGGGAAACATAGCAGTTCTTGGAAGTTAACTAAACCAGGCACCATCTGATAACCAGAAAGTAGAGCATACAAGATATGTATGCATGCATGCATGTATGTATGTATGTATGTATGTATGTATGTATGTATGTATGTATGTATGTAATCTATCTGCAGGGGACAGTTAAAATTGAGAAAGCTTCAGTCTATCACCATGGGGCATATGAGATTCCATCCAACCCAGGGGAATTACGGAGCTTCCCCTCTGATGCCCCAGTATGCAGTATAGGGCCAGGCCCACACTCAACACCAGTTAAAGTTTTGTGTTCTCTTGTTCTTGAGACAGAGTCTCTCAGATAGGGAGATAGGTAGCCAGACTGGCCTTGAACTCAGAATCTTCCTGCCTCAGCCACCCAAGTGCTGGGCTTATGGGTGTGCATCACCATTTAGGCCAATGTTTGTTAAATGAATGGGTGAGGCAAGTTCTGGCAGCTTCATTGTGGTCCCAGATGCTGTCCGTGTGGATGTCATTCTACTTTTAAAAAGAAATCTGAGGTTTCCAATAAATGATAAAGAGCTGCCCCAGAAAGGTAAAATGTAAGGAGGGTGGGACTTAAAGAACTTAATTAATCCTATACCTAACCACGGAGAAATGGGAAGGATCTGGTCAACTGCTCAGCCCCATCACAGCCTTGGCCCTATTGAGCAGCCTGCTTCCAACATTACTGGCTACCAGAGCTACCATCCCAGATGCACTAATGCCCAGTGTGACCCAGCAGCACCCCACCACCACCACCATACACACACGCACGCACGCACACACGCACACACACAGTGCTGAACTCTTGCAGCTCCTAACCTGAGAGAGACCCAAGAATCGATGTTGCCCAGAGTTGAGTCAGTAGTGGGCTCCAACCGCACTTCTTGTTAAAGCATAATTTGTCCGACTCCTGGGGATCCAAAATGCCCTCTGCTTCCTCAGCCCTTATACAGAAAGAAAAAGGAGAGACAGAGGTTCAGGAAGGTTCTGGAAATGCATCTGGATCTACAGGGTGAGGGGAGGAAGACAAAAGTAAAATCTTCCCTTTGTAGGGTGACACCTGATTGTTTTAGCCAGAAAGGACAGTAGCTTTTCCTGAATCCCCCTGGGGCCTTCATTCCAGCAAAGCAGACAGTTTATAAGGAAGTATATTCTCTCTCTGTCTCTCTTTCTGTTTGTCTCTCTCTCTTTTGGTTTTTCAAGACAGAGTTTCTCTGTGTAATTTTGTAGACCAGGCTAGCCTCGAACTCACAGAGATCTGCCTGTCTCTGCCTCTCAAGTGCTGGAATTAAAGGCGTGCACCACCACTGCACATCCAGGGAAGTATATTCTTAACTGGTATTAAAAGTAGGGGCAGGGGCTGGAGAGAGCCTAGCAGTTAAGAGTGCCTACTGCTTCTGTAGAGATTCCCAGCTCCAATACTCGTTCCAGATCAGAAAGCCTCTGTGAACACTTGCACCTGTATGTATTCACCAACAAGCACACACACAAGCATGCAAACAAAGATAAAAATAAGTAAATTTTGCCAGGCGTTGGTGGTGCACGCCTTTAATCCCAGCACTCGGGAAGCAGAGGCAGGTGAATCTCTGTTTGCCTGGTCTACAAGAGCTAGTTCTAGGATAGCCTCCAAAGCCACAGAGAAACCCCGCCCCGAAAAACCAAAAAAAAAAAAAAAAAAAAGTAAATCTTGGGAGTAGGGCCTGGAGGCTGTGTGCTCTGGAGGTGTAAGTGACTCATGAGTGCCCTGGTTAGCTGACAGCAGAGATGGAATAGGCTCTGGGCCTCAGGACTTGCTGTATGATGACATTTCTTTATTATACTCTCCAGAAAATATCTCACCACTTCCAAAAACCACTGCAACAGTAAATGCTCCCCTGGTTTGGTCCCAGGCATTCGTCATCTTTTAAACACAAACCTGAGGAGCACACAGACCTGGGACATTCAGTCATCAAGACAGAGCGCCTGGAAGCTGGGGATGACTCAACAGGTAAAGCACTTGCAGTGCAAGATGAGGACAGGAGGCTGAATCACCAGAACCCATGGAAAACTTGGTGAGATAGCATGCACCTATGATCCCTGTGCTTCTAGGTGAAACAGGAAGCTCAACGGCCAGCTAGGCTGGTGTAGGCTACCAACAAAGAGACCCTATCCCAAACAAGACAGAAGGCAAGACCCAGCATCTGAGATTATTCTCTGACCTCCACATGCACCATGGTATTTGCACACATATACAGACGACACACACACAAAGAAAAAAAAAAAACCCAACTAGAGCTGGAAAGATGGTTTGGCAGTTATGAGGAGCTATTGCTCTTGTAGAAGACTCAGGTTCAATTCTCAGAACCCACAGGGCAGCTCACAACTTCTGTAACTCCAGTTGCAGGGGATCCAATGCCTTCTGATATCTTCAGGCTCCTACACATACACAGTGCACTTACATATACACTGGCATGCACGCACACACACGCGCCCGCTCACTCACACACACACACACACACACACACACACACACACAATAAATATTAAAAACTAACAAAAATTTAAAGAGGAAATGCCTTAGGGTAGGATGCCGTTTATCCAGATGTTTGGCCTCTGGGTTTATTGTTTTTATACATGATCACTTAAACTTTGCTGTAATGGGAAAGTAGTTTTCCCATCTGACACCAGAATGGAGCTTTATGGAAGACATTGAGCAGAAAATGGAAGCTGGATTCAAGTCCCCTTCCACATAAAAAAATAGAACAAACCAGGGTAGAGCCCAGGCACCACTCAAAACATTTTTCCCCTGACCTGAAATGAAATCTCAAAGGGACAAAAAGTGAAATGGGAACTTATCCAGCACTTTGTAGTCTTCCAACCTGGCTTCTCAGAAAGAACTTTCCTACCACCTCTAATTCTGAAGATAGCTTGGGGTTATTCAAGCAGCACTTCTCTGATGTATGTGGGGTCTCTGTGAGACTGTCACTGACTGGCCTGGCCTGGGAAGAATGAGATGAGCAGAGCCTTAGAAATGGGGAAGTACAAATGCTGACCACGGGCCCTAGCAACAAAGATTCCTTTGTGGTCAGAACAAGAGAGAGCCTGTGCTCTCAAAGCATGGCAGCTCTATGTGGAGAAGCCCTGGCTAACAGGTGGAGACAAGGAGGAACCAGTGTCAGCAAGCTGCCATTCTGGGACGGAGCTGAGACCACCCGTGGACTGAAGTCAACAGAGAGCCACTGGGTCCAGCTACTGCATGGTACAGAACACAAATTCATGGCTCCAAGGTACAGAAAGACTTGAATACAGCAAAGACAGTCTGGAATCAGAACATTCCATTTATGCAGTGGGGATTGTTGTCACTCTTAGGCAGGAGCTGAGCCCAGCCACCACGAATGTGAAATGCCAGAACCAACAAAGGCATTTCTCACAGATAGTGAGATTCCACCTAGATGGGCCTGACAACAGCTCTTGAAAGAGAATAACTTCAGTTAGAGCACAAAGCACTACATACAGATCTTCAACTCTACTAGTAGGTTTGCCAATGGAAGAAGTGTGGACTCAGCAATTCAACAATATGTATGCTGAAGGACTGAGAAAATGAATAAAGCTATATAGCCCTGGCTGTCCTGGAGCTATGTGGACCATGCTAGCCTTGAACTCACAGAAATCTGTCTGCTTCTGTCTCCCAAATGCTGAGATTAAAGGCATGGGCCACCAGGCCTAGCCTGGGTGCCAGGGTTCTTAATGTAAGATACAAGTATGGAATTGGGGGCAAGCAAAGGCAAAACACTGCAGTGTTAGACTGGAATTAGAAGTTATGATACAGATTCATGCATAAAAAGTTACACATATGCCCAACTTCTGATTAAAGGTCCAGTACAATGATAGGACAGTAGCAGTAAGAACACTTAATGACTCATTTTGGCTTTGAGATATCTCATTCTACTGAAAACTGAATGATAGTCTATAAAAGGGGCCTGAACTCCTAAAGACTAAAGGACTAAGAAGGCCAGATGAATCAGGAGAGAACAAAACAAAAAATCCCACTATTAAGAATGTTTTTGGCACAACTGGCAACCTTTGAATATGGACTATATGGACTATGTATTAGAGAATGGTGTTGTATCAATGATGAATTTCCTAAATTTTATGCTGGGGTTATATGGGAAACTATCTTTGATGCTAGGTGGTGTCAGTGCATGCCTTTAATCCCAGCACTTGGGAGGCAGAGGCAGGTGGATCTCTGTGAGTTTAAGGCCAGCCTGGTCTATAGACCAAGTTCTAGGACATCCAGGGCTACACAGAGAAACCCTGTTTCAAAAAACAAAACCTAAAGAAAAATGCTTTTGTTTTCAGGAGATATACTGGAAATATTCAGAGATAAACTTTCATGTTCTCTGCAGGATATCATAAGAGGCCAGAAAAAAAAAGTTTTTCTATATACACTGCATACAAGAAGACAAAGGATGGGTAATAGATGACAGCCATATGGAAAGGAAGAACAACAGTGTGAGAGCTACTGTGGCAGAATATGACTTCTATTAAAGCTTATTGTGCCACACTTTCCCACAAGCTTGAAATATTTCAAAATTTTAAAAATTAGAGATGGGATTTTATTAAAAAGTCAAGCTTGCTTTATACTAAGGATAAACTGTAGTAAAGAAAGACGATGACAGCGATGAACTGAATGAGAAGACCACCAAAAGTGTGGGAAACAGTATGAACAAATAGGTCAAACACACTGAATGGGTGGGTGGCTCAAGCCTATAATCTCAGCACTAGGGAGACAGAGAAACAAGGACCCAGAGTTCTAAGCTAGCCTGGGCTACGCTAGATTTTGCCTAAAAAACAAAAACAAAAGACAAAACTCTTGCCTGGCATGCATGAGGCTCTAAGTTGGCTCCTCAGCACCATAAACAAAACAAAACTCAGAGAAAGTGAGCTGGAGAGATGGCTTGGTGGTTAAGAACAGTTGTTGCTCTTGCAGAGGACCCAGATTTGATTCTAAGAACCCACATGGTGTTCAACCATCCCTAACTCCAGTTCCAGGGGATCTGATGCTGTCTTCTGACCTTCACGGGTACCAGGCACACATGTGGTACACAGAGAGCAAAACATTCATACACATAAAACAAATAAATCTAAAAGAATTTATTTTTTATCAGAAAGAGACAGAGACAAAGAGACAGACACAGAGAGAGAGGGAGGGAGAGCGATAGAGAGAGAGGGGAGAGGAGAGAAGAAGGGAGGGGAGGGGAGAGGAGAGGAGAGGAAGGAAATAAAGAAAGTAAATCTAAATGTATTGATGTGAACTTTTTCCCAAAGCAGCTAAGGAATAGAACAGGTAAAAAATGATCCCATCTGTATTTGTTTAAAAACATAGAGTGTTAAAAGGAGGTAAAAAACACACACACACATGAAGCCACATATATTCCAATTAAATAAGAAGTCCAAATCTCAAATCTAATAAAACAAAGAGTTTGGAATTCCACATGTAAGACTGGTGAGCTGACTCAGTGCATAAAGCGCTTGCCACAAAGCTTGGCAACCTGGGTTCAATCCCCAGTACCCACACCATAGGAGGAGAGAAGCCACTCCCACAAGTTGTTCCCTGACCTCCACACATGGCACCCCCCCCCACACACACACACAAAATAGTAATTAAGTAACTAAATTTTTTAAAATCCACATCTTTAAAACAACCCACATTTCTAGGGGAATGAGATTAGAAAGGGTTAATGAGGACTCACTTTTCATTTTCATTTTTTTTTTTTCTTTTTAGAGGGTTTGGAATTGAACCCAGGACCTTCTACAAACCAGGCAAAAGCACTCACTGTACCACCAAACAGCAACCTTGTAGAGCAGACATCAAGGAAACAGGTATCAGGTGAATCCAGGCCCCAGTTCTGTGTCTCCCCAAGCTCCCTTCAGCATTACCCAGGGTAACCATAGTTGAAGTAGGGTAAATTTTAGGAAAGCCCAGGGAAAGCCCCTGGCTAATAAGTATTTGTTTCAGTGCCTTTCCATATGGATATAAAGAAGACTTATGGGGTAAGGAGTCTTGACCTTGGAGCCAGGCTCTAGGAAGTTGCTCAGTTACATGCCTAGAATCAATGGCCTGGGAAGAAGGCCTGGGGTCTCAATGACTGAATGAGCAAATTATAGGGCCACACTCACCTCTCAAAAATCTCCTGCTCCTTCTGCTGCAAGAGAAAAAAAAAAAAAGGGTCAGGCTGGCAGCAGAAACCCATCACATGGACACGACCAGAACACATTTCCCTGCATACAACTGAGGATGGAGACTTCACAGCAAAGACCAAGCACAAGGCTTTCTGGGCTGTTCTCCCCCCACATACATACATGCTCCCCCACCCTCCCAACATACACAAAGAATAAATCAGCCATTGCCCCCTACCCTGTGACATCCTGGGCTCCCCTCAACTCTACTTCAAGACCATCTTCCACAAACCCAGCTCCCCACTGCCACCTGCCATGGAAACCAAATGCTCCTGGATGCCTGTGATTCTCTGAATCTTTTATTGTGACTGTCCCAGTGGCTGGGGCAGAATGTGCCACTGCCTGGAAGCTGGTGCTGAATGAATGTACAATCTAGGGCAGTCTCCATGACTGCCCTACTTGAAAGGCAGAGGCTGGCCTGGTGTTTCCTCATTCTCCCTCTGCTTGGTAGTTTTACTCGGGTGTCTAACTGTCCCTCAAAATTGCATATCTATAAAGTACTGTGAAAAGCAGAACACTGAATATTAATTGTGGCTATGTCTGGTAAACCCAAGAGTGTTTTCTATATTGGTGCCCTTGTCTGTGCCAAGCACTGCCTTCTCCCAGTGTACTTCTGAACTCTCTCCACCTCCCCAATTCCCTGTACCTGGGACTCTTCTTATTACCTCTAAGTCACTTCATCCAAGAAGGTATGATCTATTGCAACTGCCTTGGGGGTGTTCTGACCTCCAAGGGATTCCTCTACTACCATGACACAGTCTACTTGTCAGTTTATGTATTCATCTCTTGGGTAGGACTGGGATCAATATCAGCTGTGTCCCATAACTCTGCCCCATTACACAACATTTAGACACTCAATAAAGATTTGCTTTCTGTTCAAAGTATATTGTTATCGGGTGCCAAAATACTTAGATAATTTTATTCTCCTGTCTTTTGTTAAAACTGGGATTAGTCAATGATATTAAACATAGTAAAGAAGATAGCTATAGGGACCACTGTCAGGGAATCTTGCAATGGGTGAGAGAGAGATTGAGTTCAGCTTTGAATACAGCATGGAATTGATGGCCATGGAGCAGGGAGGGATCGTTGGATGGAAAATCACTAAGAGCTGTGGTTCTCAACCTTCCTAATGCTGCAACCCTTTAATACAATTCCTCATATTGTGGTGACCCCCAACCATAAGATTATTTTCAATGTTGCTTTATAACTGTAATTTTGCTACTGTTATAAACCATAATGTAAGTATCTGTGGTTTCTGATGGCCTTAGTGTAACCCCTGGGAAAGGTTTGTTCAACCCCCAAAAGAGCCAAAACCTACAGGTTGGGAACTGCTGGCTAAGAGGGAAGGGGATCCTAGCTAAAGAATCCTGACTAAGAGGATTCTTGCTAAAGACAGACCAGGGTGACCACAAACCCCTAGGAGACGGTGGAGATGTGGAATGTGGTAAGTGCCGAGGGCTACCAGATGTCAGTGGTGGGGCTTTTGGCCAAGCTGATTTAGCTGGGTTCTTTGCAAAGAAAGCACATAGATGGGCCTGGATAGAAACAGCGTCACAGTCTGGCAGAAATCACTGTCACTCATCCCTGTCCAAAAGTTCACTGCCATCCTTTTGGTGTTCTCAGATCTTCAAATCTGGGGGAATCTGCCAACCTCCTGTGTCCTCACCCTCTCCTGACTTACAATCAGCTGGAGGTTATCCAGGTGGGTAAGCATGCAAACCAGGCTGGTACGGAGGGTGTCCAGCTTCTTCAGTGCCTCAGCCCAATGTGCCTGCTGAGTCAGGATACTCTGGTGGGCCCGCTCCTCTTCACCATGCACCTTCTCCAGTAATCGCTGTTCCTCACTCTCACAAAGGCTCCTCACCAGACTCAATCTCTGGATAATCAGTTCCCTTGTTGCACTAGCCGTGTTCTGGCAAGGGATAAAATGAGGAATCAGATCCTGGCAAAGTCAAAGTCACAAGCAGGACAGTACATATGGGCTTAGCAGAAATGATGCTAGCAATGATTGACAATGTCTGCCATGGACAGAGTAAGGAGAATAAAGGTTTTCAAGCCATTTACTTTGACACCCTAGCTTTTAGAGTTCCAAAGTGTGGTTTAAGAGTAACCTGAGATCTAAACATCCAGGCCATGTCTCAGAAGGTCATGGTCACAGTACAAAAGGTGGGTGGGGCTTAGAGATGAACTAGATTTGCCTGCTTATTTCACAGTTGGAAACATGATGGCCATGGAACAAAAGTAAGGGAATCATAGTGATCACTGGACAGAATGACCTTAATGAGTTATTGCCATCAACCATAACAATAAGAATGAGGCTCCCGTTGAAGTTTCACTCTGCTCGAGGGCCAAAATCTTATCCTCTCCTAAGGCTTGCTCATTCCAACTGGTTCCAACACAAGCTTTTCATGTGTCATAGAGGAGCTTTGAAAAAATTCTTAGCTAAAAATGTTTCTTTTTGTATGTTCTTGTTTTTTGTTTGTCTGTTTCTCAACAGGGTTTCTCTGTGTAACCACCTTGGCTGTCCTGGAACTCTCTCTGTAGACCAGGCTGGCCTTGAACTTACAGATCCACCTGCCTCTGCCTCCCGAGTGCTGGGATTAAAGGCCACCACCACTGGCTCAGCTAAGGATGTTAACAAGCATCATCTTCTAACTCACAGTGGTCAGGGTCTGGCATGCAGTAGGTACCTCCAAATATAGACTTGTGACTGAGTGGTTATGCTGTCTTAGGGGAAATTTCTTGCTAGCTTGAACATCATGAGCCAGTGGCTGAGGTGGATCTAAAAGCCCATTCTCCCGACTGTCAGTCTAGCACTATTCTCCTATGCCAGATACCACCTGGTAACCAAGCCTCCTTTTGCTACATAAAGCACCTGCACTTGACTCTTGCCAGATGTGTCAGAATAGAGCTATCTTCTTGATGTCAGAGGGCCAGGAAGAGCTGGTTGCTTCTCTGGGTCCTGTCCCTGAAGACCTGGTTTGTACAGCATGGGGTGCAGTCACCCCTCTAAGAAACTGAGACCCACAATCTGCCCAGTGTGGAGGAGAAAACAATTTAATGAATATCAAGGAAACTCACTTGAGTCTGAACCACACTGATTTCACTGTATTATTATAACTGCCCCCCATTTGGTTGCCTGGCCTTTTCTTTTGCTGCCTGTGGTCACTCCTACTACAGTTGCACGGGGGTTTCTTTTTAAACTGAAGTCTCAATCTGTCTGCAACTCTGTGTGTGTGTGTGTGTGTGTGTGTGTGTGTGTGTGTGTGTGTGTGTGTGTGTGTGTGTGTGTGTGTGTGTGTGTGTGTGTGTGCCATATGCTTGGCTTTCAAGGAGCTGTAGTTAAGTATAGTTGTGAGCTGCCAAAAGTAGGTACTAGCAACTAAACTCAGGTTCTCTGGAAGACGTGGAAGTGTTCTTAACTACTAGTCACCCTTCTAAACCCTAAATTTAAAGCTTTTGCCTATATATTTTTTAAAGCTTTTCAGTGGCTTCTCTTTATATCTGAAATGAAGATGAGCCCCTCTGTGACCAAGAGGGTGGGATTCAACTTCTCCCTGAACCTTTTGCTCTCTGACCTAGTTTCTTCCTGGTTTCTCTGATTTTACTTCTTCTGCCATCTTACCTGCTCACACCGCTTCAGCCTTGAAGGACTCTTCTGCTCCAGCATGTCAGGAACCTTTCTGCCCAGAGCTTTTGCACTTGCTAACCTGTCTACACACTTTTCCCTCAAATGTGTGGCTAACCACTCCATTTCTTAGATTTCTGAGCAAATATAAACCTTCTTTTCTTCAAACTTTCATTTACCATTATTGTGTAGTGTGTGTGTGTGTATGCATCCTGGCACATACATGTGTGGAGGTAAGAAGACCACTTTATAGAATTAGTTCTCTCCTTCCATCTTTATGTGGGTTCCAGGGAACAAACTCAGGCTTTTACAAGAAACAATTTACCTTCCTTTTTTGTTTGTTTGTTTGTTTGTTTTCCAGACAGCATTTCTCTGTGTAACAGCTTTGGCTACCCTGGAACGGACTTTGTTCACCAGGCTAGCATGGGACTCACAAAGATCTGCCTACCTCTGCCTCCCAAGTGGTGGGATGATTAAAGGTGAGAGCTACCACCACCCAGCAATATCAACCTTTCTTAATGAGAGCATTTCTTATCATAGCACAAGTAACAACCCTGTCCTCAGGACATGCTGTCCCCTCTTCCTACTTACAACTCCCTCAAAGAATGTATTGCATTGCCTTCTGACATAACACTTATTTTATTCTTTATTGCCCATCTCTCCTGACAAGAATGTAGCATTCACAAAACAGAACTTTCCTATTTTGTTCACTGTAGGATGCCTGGCACACAGGCCAATGGTGCCTGGCATATGGAAGTGCTCACTAAAGATTTGTTAAATAAATAGTAAAATGTTGGAAGTTTCCCAGTTAAAGTCAGGATCTGCTACTATAGCTTCTAGTTTATATTGTACTAGAGGTTTAGCCAGTGCAATAGGACAAGAAAATACAAATAGTGATAGAGTCAAAGGCAGATCAATATCATCATGCAAACAGAAGTGAAGATGGATGAAGATTAGTTGGATTCCTAGCTGCTTTCTGGTTCCTAGTTCTAGTTCCTTTAGCTTCTGAGAAACCCCTGTGTCCTGCCATGAATTCTCTATTTTTGTTTATGGTAGTTCAGTTTATGCAATTAAAGAAACTTGGCTAAGGCAGTGCCAAACTTATTCTGTATGCTGTGTGTATAGGCAGGGGTGGGTGAGGTGGTATGCAAAAAGAAATTTACAGTCCAGCACTGCCTTGAAGGGCCTACTTAAGAGTGAAGACATAACAGTGATGTTGAATAAACGATATGCCTTGTGATATGGCAGAAACAGCAGTGGCCTGAGAATCAGAGAATCCAGGACATAAAACTGACCCTGCAATGAGGCACTGGGGCAAGTTAACTAATTTCTGTAAGATGTATTTCCATATCTTCATATAGGGATGTTTACTGCCACCTATTGCATAAAATTGTAGTAAGAGTACTTCAAAAATTCCTTCCATGGAGGTGCTTGCATCTAATCTCAGCACTCTGGAGATGGAAGCAGTAAGATCAGTAGTTCATGGTCAATCTTGTCTATACAGAAAGTTTGAGCCTAGGCTACACAAAACACTGTTTCAATAAACAAAACAAACAAAAGAATGTCTCAAAAGGACTGAAGATGTAGCTCAATGATAGAGCATTTGCCTAGCATGTACATGACCCTGGGTACATGCTTCAGACTGGTTAAAAAAGGAAAAAAAAAAAGGGAACCCAGGTAAAAGTGCCTAAAGAATTTCACAATTCTGAAGATGGGCACAAAATAATTCCATAGTGAAAGTCTTGAGGCTGGAGAGATAGCTCACCAGTCAAGAGCACTTGTTGCTCTTGCAGAGGATGTGGGTTCAGTTCCCAACACCCACATGGTGACTCACAACCATCTATAACTCCAATTCCAAGGGATCCAATGCCCATTTCTGATCTCTGTGGATGCCAGGCACACAGGTGATACACATACATACATACATGCAAGCAAAACAAACATACACACAAAATAAATGTCTAAAATTTGTGAGAAAAAAATTCTAGTCTTCTTGACTTTCTATGCCGGAGTCACCAAGAATTCTTTCTCTAGTCTGTAGTCTGTGTACTGAAGGAAACAGTCAGCCAGTAGCTCAATAAGGTTCTAAGTTTGGAAAGGGATTTTAGACTATTCTAGACCTGGGCTAAAGTCTTATCCTAGGAGGCAAAGGAAAGCAGAAGAATTACCACTACTTTCTGGTTCTTCCCTTGCAGGACCTCCGACACATACTTGGTGATGCCAGCACTCTGTAACTGCATCTTCTCACACTGGTCCACAATCTTGTTCTGCAACACAAATGACATTACAGTGTCTTTACGCATGCAGATGGGCAACTCACTCATTCAAGTGACTTTTCCCATTTACTCTACCCTTAGTTGCCCTCTCCTATGGTCTGAACCCAGAAACCATCATCATCAAAAACAGTAATGCACCCAAAACCTTAGGTCAAGGAACCCACATATGCCTATGATATCTTCCCTTCCAGCTCACTAGTACTGGACTCCCTATTCCAGTTACTCATTTAGGGCCATCAAGACATCTGGGTCTTGATGGGTCTGTCCTTAACCCTTCTCCTCCCTCTCCTCTCCTCACTTCACCACTGACTACTTCCACTTCTGTTATTCTATCCAGATGGTCATCGACTCAGAGGAACCCTGTTAGAACCCCCAAATTGGGTTTCCTTTGTTAATCTTCACACCTCCCCATTACCACAGCCACTTTTCCTAGGGGAACCAGTGCAGGCCCTGACCAGCTCAAAACCTCCCAGTGGTTTTCCAATACAGTCACAGAGAGAATAAGCCTCATATCTGAGCCCACAGGTCCTACCTGGAATAACTCTTTGTCTCCCATGCCACCTCCTACCTCACACTAACCTTTCTGCTCCTTAAAAACACCAGATTTACCCAGTCTGCCTTGGGGCCACTGGCTTGTTGTTCCTTCCTCCTTTAGCCTCAGCCTCCCCCGATTGTCTTGCTCCCTTGATGTACCCATATCCACTTCCTCAGAGAAGCCTACCCTGACTCACCCCCACTTTTGTCCTGTGTTATTTCTCTTACAACTCCTGACTACACAGTGTGTGTTTACTTTCGTATGTTTTCCTGTCTCCCTACTACTGGAGCATCAGCACCACACTCTGACCTCTGGCCTACCATCTAGAAGGGAGTCCCTGCATATAGCAGGTCTTAAATAAATGCTTATTGGTGATGAATGATCACTGCCTTGACCACAAGCGACCTGGCAGTTCTCTGTTCCCAAAGTCACTAGCATCAACCATCAAGGAACAGGGAAAGGTTTATAAACAAGGAAGCTGAGGCAGATGGTTAACTGGTTCACCATAGAGACATGGTTAGACATGGACTTTCCCACTCCTTCCTACCAGGTAACAGCTGGAGAGCTTCCAAGCAGCAGTCTCTCCATTACTACCCCAGACACTGGCACCAGTGCCATCTGCCACAAGGCAATCTGGCTACCTTTTCCAAGAAACTCTTCCTACCCTCTCTCCAATCAGTAAGAGTGAGTCGTGGAACTGTGGTTACCATGTACCCGGGGACTAAGAGAACTGAACTTAGCTTTTGTCCTTTTTTCTTAAAACAAAACAAAACAAAAAAACCCCAACTGTTTATTAATGTATACTAACTGTATAGAATGTTTGACTATGACTCTTCTATCACACCCACCCTTCATTCATTATTCTCTCTCCCCACCCTGATCTTCCTTAATGCTTCCCCTTCTATGTTTCATGTCCTAAGTGCTCAGAGTAAAGCTATCACAACTGGCTTTGATTTTTTTTTAAGACAAGACTTTATTATGAAATCCAAACTGGCCTCATACCTGTCATCGTCTTGCCTCACTAGTATAGGAGTGTGCTACCACACCCAGCTCATGTTGTCTTTTAATGGCTGCGTCTAGGTTCTATATATGAAACAAAACATGTGACAGTTGTCTTTCTGAGTCAGGCTTGTTTCACTTAACATGGTGATCTCCACTTTCCCCATCTTCCTGCCAATCACATAATTTTATGTGTATATATTAACAGTTCTCTTATCCATTCATCCAATAATGGGCACCTAGGCTGGTTCCTAACCTGAGCCTACCTTCTAACTAGCTTCCAGGCATGAATCCAGACACAAAGAGCAGTTGAACTGGTGCTATTTTGCCCAGGTCAGTAGTGTTTATGCTCCAGAGACCATTTCTCTCTAGGATGAAGGATAGGAGGAGTGTATTGAAAGCATTCTGTACTCTATGGCTAGAGATGTAGCTCAGTGGTAGAGTCTAATATGCTGCATGAGGCTCTGGTTAAACCAAAAAAGAAAAGCAAACAAACAAAAACATATTATCTAAGGTAGGAGAGACAAGACTCACTTTCCTTAAGCCAAGGCTATGCACCTGTGTAAGGTCTTAGGGTGGCCCAGAGAAGGCACCTGGGGAATAGTACCAAGCCTGTCATCCTGCCCCAGCTTTCACCCCTCCCACCACTCAGATAGGCATGATGGCTACTTTTCAAGGCTTTATGTCATTATTAGGTCATTTCCTCTTCCTAACCACGGAGGTCAAGCAGTGGTTTCCTCTTGCCCAGTCAATGAATCTCCCCTTCTAAGTCCTGAAGCTGTGGAGTCTGGGAGGAGTTACCATCCTGCTGTGGACCTCCCTTTCCCCATTTGAAAAACCGGAGTTAGAACCCATGCTTCAGAAGCCCGGTCTGGGTGAAATGAGATGATAAATATCTAAGTCCTTAGGAATTTGTAAAATCCTTACCCATGATGCAAGCTGATTGTATCAACTTTACTCAAGTTTATTTTCATCACCACTGAGTAACTGAACTCTGCTGGCCCCAGTTTCCAGTAAGGTATGCTTATTACAATCTGGTCTTAGTAGGTGATGTTCCTAGTGACAGACCTCAGTGCACAGCAGGGCTCAATGCCAGGGTGGGGTTGGGAGAAGTAAGCCATTTACCCAAATTGCAAGGAGTTCCCCAAGGGCTACAGCTAGAATAAAAGGAAGACAGCAGGACCAAGGTGACTTGGCCTCCAATCTCAGCAGCTCAGGGAAAAGGGTGGGGGTGTAATAGGAAGGTGACTAGCCACACTGAGCCAGGAGAAGAGGAGGCCTTCGGAGATAGATAGCGTCCTGCCATTCTTCCCACCCCATCCAGCAACTTCAAGTCCAGTCAAGGCCAGGTAGGAAGGGAACTAGATCCCTCACCAGGAAACCTGAGGGGAGAGGAGGGGAGGAGACTCTGACTCAAGGGGTGAGGGGGAATTGAGTTTCCGAGGTCAGCTATAACAAACACGTGGTATTACGAATGCCCCGAAACTACTGGTGAAATACAAAAAGCTAGTTTCCGTGACTCACAGGGAGGGGGAAAGGATTCAAACTCGGATCCAATTTAATACAGAGATCACACCTTTAACAACCTAGTTCTGAAAGGGAAGCCACAGAGAAGCCAGCCTCCGCCCCCCGGCTTCCTGGTCCCTTGCCAGTTCCCCGGCTCTGAGAAAACCACCCCAGCTCCCAGCCCCATGCCCGCTCACTCGCAGCAGCTCGGCGTGCTCCTCGGCCGGGCGGATGCGGTGCCGGTGACAGCGGCCGCCAACCTCGACGCAGGAGGCGCACACCGGCCGTCTCTCGGAGAGGCAGAACCAGCTCAGAGGCTCTTTGTGCTTGGGGCACAACTGGCCCGGGTCGGTCCTAGGCTGGGGTTCCCGCCCCAGCCCCGGCCCCTGCTGGGGTCCGGTCTCCGGCCCCAGCTGGGGTCCGGTCTCCCGCCTCAGCTGGGGTCCGGTCTCCCGCCTCAGCTGGGGTCCGGTCTCCCGCCTCAGCTGGGGTCCGGTCTCCCGCCTCAGCTGGGGTCCGGTCTCCCGCCTCAGCTGGGGTCCGGTCTCCCGCCTCAGCTGGGGTCCGGTCTCCCGCCTCAGCTGGGGTCCGGTCTCCCGCCTCAGCTGGGGTCCGGTCTCCCGCCTCAGCTGGGGTCCGGTCTCCCGCCTCAGCTGGGGTCCGGTCTCCCGCCTCAGCTGGGGTCCGGTCTCCCGCCTCAGCTGGGGTCCGGTCTCCCGCCTCAGCTGGGGTCCGGTCTCCCGCCTCAGCTGGGGTCCGGTCTCCCGCCTCAGCTGGGGTCCGGTCTCCCGCCTCAGCTGGGGTCCGGTCTCCGGCCCCAGCTGGGGTCCGGTCTCCGACCCCAGCTCGGGTCCGGTCTCCGGTCCCGAGGCGTCCGCGGACATGGCAGAGTGCCGGGCGCCGCGCGCTCCACCTGTCGCAGGTGCTGGGGGCGTGGCTTCTTTTGTCACGCCCTTCCAGGCCCCGCCTTCTCCGGCCCCGCCCCCAGGCTGCGCCCGCGCGCTAATCCGCGCCAATCTGGTCCCACCTGCGTTAGCAGGCTTTGGTTCTTTGTACAGTTGTGTTGTGCCCGAGTTTTTAAAACAAACAACTAACAACCAATATCCTAGTGGCTGAAGGAAACTTTAGTGAGCACTTACGAAGTGTTGCGTTTTTGCTAATTGCTTTAACAGCCGGTAGAGAGGCAGCTTTAGGCAGATGTCTTAAAGCCAGGCTTCCCTCTCAGCCCCTCAGTGGTCTTGATTGCTAAAGGGATTTGAGACGATCTCTCTCTCACCTACTTGAGTTGAGGAGTAGATAAATGAGTCAGGTGTGGTGGCCCAAATCTGTAATGCCATTACTTGAGAGATGGAGGTGGGGGAAGAAGATCAGGAGTTCAAGGTCATTCTCAAACATTCGACGTTCGAGGTTAGCCTGGGCTACATAAGACCCTGTCTCAAAGACACACAAAATCAAAATACAAGCTGTAAGTGGCAGCACACGCCTTTAGTCCCAGTACTCAGGAGGCAGACCTGGAGGATTTCTGTGAGTTAGTGGCAGCCTAATTTACAGAGCAAGTTCCAGGCCAGCCAGAGCTACAGAATGAGACACTATCACAAAACAAAAGACTACAAGGAATCAAAAAGGCATGAAGAGTGTTGGACACACAGTAGCTGAGCAATGCTAACAATGGGGGGGGGACACTATTATGACACATTTGTTAATGTTGTTTGTTTTTATTTTCCAAGATAGGGTTTCTCTGTGTCACCTCGGGCTGTCCTGGAGCTCTTTCTATAGAACAGGCTGGCTTCAAACTCACAGAGATCTGCCTGCCTCTGCCTCTCAAGTGCTGGGATTAAAGGCGTGTGCCACCACTGCCTGGGTCCTTATGTGATGATGGGGGCCAATTACATTCGCTCTGTCTCTGTCTGTCTCTGTCTCTGTCTCTCTCTCTCTCTCTCTCTCTCTCTCTCTCTCTCTCTCTCTGTGTGTGTGTGTGTGTGTGTGTGTGTGTGTGTGTGTGTGTGTAAGTAAATACATGGAAGTGCAGGTAGCACAATGAACCCATAAGCCAGAGGAAAACCACCGCTGGAAGGGGATCACTCTTGGCACCATGTGGATCCTGGAAATTGAATTGAGGTTACCAGACTTGGCAGCTAGTGCCTTCATCTTCTGAGCTATCCCACTCATGATTACTATTTTATGGAAATCAAGTGACTTGTGAAGTTGCAATAACTGACTGATGGCAATGATACAAAAACCCAAGCACTGACACTTCAGGCTACCGGGATGAATAAGTTTTAAGTTACAATGATTGAGGCCCATTGAGAAGGCTGATTTTTCTAAGTGGTGTATTTGCACTCAAATTTTCTGAATTTGTTTATTTGGGTTTTTCTTTATTTTTTAATTTATTTATTACACATACAACATTCTGCTTCTATGTATATCTGCACACCAGAAGAAGGCATCAGATCTCATAACAGATGGTTGTAAGCCACCATGTGGTTGCTGGGAATTGAACCTAGGATCCCTGGAAGAGCAGTCGGTGCTCTTAACCTCTGAGCCATCTCTCCAGCCCAGGGTTTTTCTTTTTTTTTTTTTTTTTATTGAGGGGGAAAGTAATGTATATCAATTTTGAAGAAAATGGAGTATGCAAGTAAGCATGTAAAGGAGGGGGAAAAAAACACCCATTCCAAGAACAACTAACTGCTAAGGCATGCCCGAGACTCCCCCTGCCTCTCTTATGTATCAGACTGAACCCGAAGGAACCCTCTGCTTGGTATGCACCCCAGCATGCCTGGCATGTGGAGGAAACTGCTGCTAGCCCAAAGCTGGCCTCTTGGGGCTCAGGCTTCTCTGCTCTGAAAACCCTCTAGCCACTATGACATAAAGAGGATAAAAGCTTTCCTTTGCAGCTATGGCTTAGCCCCCAGATATGGATGCAGCTAAAAGCACTGAGGCCACTAAGAGTAGTATCGAATGGAGTCATCCTTCCAGGACGAACACAGGACCACTCAAATACACGCATATTATCTACCAAGTGACATGGAGAGAACATAGGGATGTAGGGTTATTGGTTATACCATCTGCACTTGTAGGTCCTTGGTCAGCTTGTCTGATTCTTCTGGTCCCCCTCTGCTAGTTGCTACAGTGGGGTAGTAGATCCCACTTAGAGGACTGCTTCAAGAATTGAATGCAGTCTTATCTGTGAAGTGCTTAATTTGGGGGTTTAGCTTGAAACAGGCATGAAAAATGCCTTTATTACCCATGATTTGGAATGTACTCATTGCAAGTGTCAGAATGCCAATTATGTGATCTTCTTGGAGGGGAGGGTTCTGTGGTCCTGGCATCAAAAAAAAAATGGCCTAGGGAGCTGGAGAGATGGTTCCATTGTTAAGAGTAAGTACTACTATTGCAGAGGATCTGAGTTCTGTTCCCAACACACAAGCACCTGTAACTCCAGCCCTAGGGAATCCAGTGACCTCCACACCTGTACTCATACCCACATGGAAACCCATAATTGAAAAATAAATCTTAAAATAAATAAAGTTCATTTTAAATCAAGATGGTCCAGTGCATTCCAGGTGGTTGCCTAACAACAACATCCATCCTCCTGTGAAGTAGATTGGAAACAGGCTATGGCGATTAGGAATTGTCGGTAGATTTTTGTTGTTGCTGTTGTTCAAAAGAAGACGCTGTGGGGACAGAAAAAGATGTTCCATGAGGTCCTTGAGGGAAGCTGGATGCCTTCATTGGGGTACCCCTCAGAAAGTCCCTACAGAGCCGCAGGCAAACCACCTGACATGCTTCCTGGCAGAGGGGCCAGCATATGCAGAGGGCTAAGTGATGAGTGGATTTATGTTTAGAAAGCAGGGTTCATGGGTCCTACTGTCAGCTCTAAGAGAACACACAAACCTCTGAGGTCGTGTTCAGCATATTACACTCTGGATGATGTTAGCCTGAACTAAAGTGGTGGCTAGAGAGTAATAGACAGGCTTTTATTTTTAGTATAAACAGGAAGCAGGTCTGAGAAAGCTTGGGTGTTCTTCAACAGGAAGAGAGGAAGAAGTTACAAATGACACTCCCCACCCCCTGGAAAGTGTGGCAGAGCCTGCATTGATACCAGGCACAGGCCTGCCACACTCACAAACTCCCAGGCTGTGGCTTGGACATGTTAGATGGCTTTAGAATCACTAGGAGATGGGAGATGGGGGTGGTGAGAAATAGATTTTCTAGTAAGAAATTTGTAGCAGGCTTTCTTTAAGGTACCAACCAGCTCCCAAATCATAACATGGAAACTTATTATTGGTTTTGAATACTTTGCCTTAGCTTGCTTAGCTCTTATTTTATCTTTTAAAAGGATTTATTTATGTATTTATGTAGTATTTATGCATTTATGCATTTATGCAATTATGCAATTATGTATTATGTATTGTGTATTATGTATTATGTATTATGTATTATGTATTATGTATTATATTCTGCCCGCATGTATGCCTGTAGGCCAGAAGAGGGCTCCAGATCTCATTACAGATGGCTGTGAGCCATCATGTGGTTGCTGGGAATTAAGCTTAGGACCTCTGGAAGAACAGCCAGTGCTCTTATCACTGAGCCATCTCTGCAGCCCCCGTAGCTCTTAGTCTCCAAAACAACAAATAATCCAATTAAAATCAGGGTACAGAACTAAATAGACAATTCTCAATAGAGGTATCTAAAATGGCAGCTTAGGACCTCTGGAAGAACAGCCAGTGCTCTTATCACTGAGCCATCTCTGCAGCCCCCGTAGCTCTTATTTTAATGTTTCTCTTTATCTCAGGGCTTTTTACCTTTCTTTCTGTATATCTTATTTTCCTGCTGTCTCCATGTCTGGCTGGCAGCTGCCTGGCTTCTGGCCCCAGGAGTCTCCCTCTCTTTCTCCCTTGTTCTCTCCTTCTCTCTCACCTAGATTTCTCCTCCTACTTATTCTCTCTGCCTGCCAGCCTGTCCCTCTACTGCCTAGCTATTGGCCATTCAGCTCTTTATTAGACTAATCAGATGCCTTAGGCAGGCAAAGTAAAACAGCAACACATCTTTACATAATTAAAAAATTCAGCACAAAGAAATTGTAACACACCTTTACACAGTTAAAGTAATATTCTGTAGCATAAACAAATGGAAGGCATATACCCCAAAGATGCACATTCCTACAACATGGACATCTGTTCAATTATGTTCATAGCAGCACTATTTGTAATAGCTAGAACCTGGAAGCAACCTGTATCACATCTTTGCCAAGTTAAAGTAATATTTTACAACAGATATTATTCACTAACTCTGTGGGAGAACCAAGAATCTGTGTTTTAAGCAGTCACCCCATGATTAGAACACAATTGAGCGAAAGGGTGCATTAAGCAGTGACAACTCTTTAATTAGGCAGGGCGACCAAGTCAAGGAAGGAGGAAAGAGGAAAGAGGAAGGGAAAGAATATGAGCATAGCAAGGTTTGTTGTTTCTCAGTAGTGCACTGTGAGAGATCATCGTTTTGGATTAGCTCCCATACAGGCTCCAACAGACCTGCATGGAAAACAAAATTGAGTCACTTAAATTCAAGTTCACTAGCAAGCTGAAGCTAACTCATCACAAACGTGCTTGTCTGGAACTTCCAAGAAAACAAGAGACAAGGATAAAAGAGAGATTATGTGACAAAAAGAAATTGATTATTAATCCACACAAGTCAGATTTAGCTCATTTAACTAGGAATCCCCCTCTGATTTTTGTTCTATAAAGAAAGTAACTTTGAAATGACTTTATTTCTGCTCTTTGTAGCCCTCAAAGCAAACCTCATCTATTCAGTCCATCCATTTTATAGAAAGAGATTTTTGTCCAGTTCTAGAATTGTTAATAAAAATCAATTAAATATTGTAAATAAATGTATAGTAATCTAATCTTTAGGCTATATACGGAAGAAGTGGGGACCATGAGTGTCTTTTTTCTGTGGGGGCTAATAAAAAATTGAAAACTGCTTAGTCACAGAGCTTTCCGGAGCCTTGGTAGGCTTGAGGTGGGCAGTACTTGAACTTGAGGACTTATAAAAGCAGGAAACCTTGCAGAAACAGAGAAGAAAGGATACCTTTGTCACATTATAGTCATTCAACAAATTTATAGGGTAATTGCCTGTGTACCTGCCCTGTTTAAGTCACTGGAGCTACAAGTTACAACAGTCAAAAGGGACAAAGTCATCCCCATTGACAAATAAAATATGTCAATAGTGATAAGAACTATGAGAAAAATTCAAAGTTGCTGGCCCTGGTGGTACAGGTCCATGATACCAGCTATTTAGAAGACTAACAGGAGGGTTCCAAGTTCACGGCTTGTCTGGGCCATAGGGTTCCAGTCCAGCATGAGCAACCAGCAAGACCTTATCTCAATTAATTAAATATTGTATAATGCAAAAAATGCCATAAATTTAATTCCAAGTGTTGGACAACAGGGGAGGAGAGCTGAAGATGTGAATTAGTTTACAAACTCTAGGTCAAGAACAAAAACTGCTCAATATATGTCTCCTATATATAGCCGATGTAGCTTGAATATAAACAACGTAGACCTTCTGTCTCCAAGTTTTCTCTTAACTACTATGTCCACCAGACTGCTTGTAACTGTCACCTTGTTCTGCTGTTTGTGATTGTGGGGGGCTTATCTCAGGGTCTGCTCCTTTGGAGGACTGGCGTCTGTAACTGCATAGTGAATCCTTATATTTCTGAGACCCCTTGGCTCAAGAGTGAGCTTGAATAAGAGAACATAAGCTTGTGGTGGTGCTGGCCTAGGAGGGGTGACCTAGGAAGACTAGGAAAAGCAAGCCGTGAGAACACCTGGGAGAAGCTGGCTTTGGGGCACAGGGACAATGAGTGAAAATTTTCCTGGTTTTTGTTGCTGTTTGTTTGTTTGTTTGTTGTTTTTGATTTCAGTACTAGAGACTGAACTCAGGGGCTTACACATGCTAGCCAAATGCTCTATTAATAAGTTTATTCTCTTTTTTTAAAAAAAAAAATGTCAGCCTAGCTTCACTAGCCAGACAGCACGGCCACAGGCCCAGCCACAGTGGGCCTGGCCTTCCCAGCAGTTGATGTCTTTGAAGCCCTGTGCATTGAGCCCTTCTCCAGCCCTTCAGAACTTCCAGATGTGATGAAGTCACAGGATTCTGGAGGCACTGCCAATGAACTAGCTGTGCAGTGAGGGATCCAGGCCCATCCCTCTAGATAGCCATTTCCCCAATAAAGATTTGGATGCTGAAGAAACAACAACAACAAAAAAGTCTGCCTGGGCTAGCCTTGAACTTGTGATCCTCCTGCCTCGGCGTCTAAGAATCTGGGATTATAGGTGTGCACCATCATGCCCAGTGCAAAATTTCTTTTTATGACATCTGCCTCCCCTTAGCAATGAATTTCATGCAATTTACAAGTAGAAAAGCTTACAAAAAAAGTACAGTGTGACAAGGAACTCTTAGCCCATTCTACATGATACAGGAAGGAGCAGTGCTTGTACAAACTGGGATTCTTTTGTACACCCTGCTCTGTAACCCACCCTTCACTTCTGTTCATGACTTTTCAGTGCTAAAGACTGAGCTCGGGTCTTGAGCATGTCAGGCTCATTCTGCCACTGAGCTTTCCCTGTGCCCATAAGCTTATTCTTAGCAAACATTTTAGAAAGTATTTTAGAGAAAATTCTCCTTCCCCAGCAGCCTCGGTGCTCCTCAATGGCAGAAGAGCCTTCACAATCAGCCTGGCAAGACTCTGCATGCATTCTTCCTCACTGTTCACACTCTGGTCCAGAGTTGCTGATGTCTGGATGAAACAACAACCAATTTCAGTCTGCTCAGATTCTGGGAGTGACATTATGGCTTCATTTTCACCTGTAATGTTTTCACAGAATAACCAGCTTCAACTGTCACCTTTAAGAGTGCTTGACAGCCTGCCAGTGCCAACAAACTCAGACTCCTAGGTCCCTGGTGACAAGGTCAAGGCCCTGGGGGAAAGAGGCCTCCTCTCCACTTGGAGCTAGATAGAATAAAACAGACTCATTCATATGTAGTGGGACTTTCTATAGACCAGCTCCTGAATAATGACAGAGACTTTTTATTAATTATGAAAACTTGGCCTCAGCTTAGGTTTGTTCTCAACTAGTTCTTAAAACTTAAATTAACCTGTTTATAGTAATCTATGTTCTTCCACATGGCTCATTACGTCTCCTAAGTACTTTATGTCTGACTTTGTGTCTGACTGGCGAGTTCTCCCACCTCAGATTCTTTCCCAGAGTTCCTATCTCTGCCCAGAAATCCCACTATCCTCTCCTGTCTAGCTATTGTCAGTGCAGCTCTTTATTAAGCAAATCAGAAGGTGCTTAGGTAGGTGAGGAAGGACAGACACATCTTCACACAGTGTGATCAAATATCTCACAATTCTCAGATGCTTGCTATTTAGTGTTAGCTGTTGGATGTGCTGTGTATTTCAGGTGAACTGGCTAGGATTTCTTCCTGTAATGGGAATGGTTCAAAAGGATGAGAGTAGAATCTGAAAGTCTTTTTGAATTTAAATCAGAAGTTCCACAATGTTACTTCTGCTATATTCAAATGGACAAAATAATTTACAAGGCTAACCATAATGGAAGAACAATGAATTTATTATTATTTTTAACCTATCACACCCTGGATGATGTTGGCCTGGACACAAAAGGTTGCTAGAGAGAAATGAAATACTTAGAAAGCAGAATTGGAAAAATCTTGGTGTGAGTATTGTTCTTGGGGAGAAGTTACAAATGACTCCTAGGTCTGTGGCTTGGGTGATTGATGGGCAGTATTGTCCAGCATTTATAGAAAGAACAGGCTTAGGTAGAAGATGTGTCTGAGTCATGGGAAGGAAGAGGTGTCTTTTGGATAGCCAGGCAGAGATGAGCAGGAAGTAGGTTGATTACTGGTGAGACTTAGGGACAGGTCTGACTACAGATACCAGTTTGGAAGTATCAGTTGCCAGAAGCCTAAGGCATTTCTCAAAGAGGTTGTATCCCAGAGCAGAGTGTTTTGGGGGTAGGACTCTAATAATAACTTAGTACTTAAACCTACTGGAATCTCCAACACAAATCAGGGCGTCTATCTTCTGTCAAGTGTATTGTCACAACAATATGAAAAGCAATTATTACTTATGATAACTCCAAAATTTATTTCACTTTGCTATTTATTGAAGTTACATATTTTGTCACTTGGTTAGGTGGCATTATTGCTCTGGTGCAAAATGAGGTGATGGAAAAAATGAATTAAATATACATGAATGAAATTCTCTCTCAACAACAGCCCACTAACTCTGAAAGTAATGAAGGAACATTAAGGGCTAGAAGAGCCCCAATCAGGAATGCTGCAGAGGAAATTCTCTCCCTAGATTGGAAGATAAACCTAGTGGCCAAAACTGATTCTTTGAGGGCAAACTTCTCTGGTTACACCCACAGACACTCACCTTTCAGAATATCCACAAATCCCCATGAATGGTAATTTTACTGGGATACCTGCTCCTCATAAAAAGCACTAACGAGGATATAAAAGACACATTGGTTAGGATCTCATCCACTCATTCATTTATTCATTCCTTTGTTCAATAAGCATCAGGAATACAGATAAACAGATGTTGGGTTGGGACTGGAAACCGTTTTTTGTAGCTGTTAATAGCTGTATCTTCCCATTTGGATCTCAAGAAGGTACCGAGAGGTCTTTTTGTTATAGTGCTGGCCTGTTTCGGTTTGATGAAAGACAAAGCGAAAAGTGTTTAATTTGGTAGCATATATATTAAAATTGAAACAACACAGGGACTAGAGAGAAGGCTCAGCGGTTAAGAGCACTTAGTGCTCCTGCAGAAGATCCAGCCAATTCCCAGTACTCACAAGGTAGCTCACAACCATCTGTTAACTTCAGTTCTATGGGATTAGACCTTGGCTCTCATCAAGCACACAAGTGATGCACATAGATACATGCAGGCAAAGAACTCACACACATAAACCAACTTGTTCTCAAACTGCTTTTTGTTGTTGTTGTTGGTTTGTTTATTTTATTTTGTTTCTTGAATGATACAGAGAAAATAACATGGTTCCTGCACAAGGACAGATTGGTTGGGTTTTCTTTTGTTTTTCTCTGTGTAACAACTCTGGCTGTCCTGGAACTCACTATGTAGACCAGGCTGGTCCTTAACTCAAGAGATCGGCCTGCCTCTGTCTAGAGAATGCTGGGATTAAAGGCGTGCAACACCACCAACCCGCTATAGTTCCATATTTTTGAAACTCATTACTTTATATATTTGAAACATTAATCAAAATAACTACATACACGCCAAATGAAAGGAATGGAGTAGGGTGTTGGGGGAAATGTCAAAAGGCGAACATCTCTGTCTGTATTCAGGGAAACTTCAAATAAATTATCTGGGCGAATAATAATTACAAAAATGACTCTTATTAATTGCCTTTGTGGCTATGACAGAGATATTACCGTTTTTCTCTTGATGATATATATTCTTTACAAACCTTCTCTGTGCAGAATAGCCATATACCGTTAAATTAGGAAGGTGAAATAGGCGCTCTTGGCTAGGACCCTGAGAGACTTCCAGCAGATGGAACCTCAGTTCCGAGACTGCGGTGGGCGCCGGAAACGTTTAACTGGGACTCCCGCCTTAGCGACGCGCGCCTGGTTGCTAGGGGCAGAGGCGCGGGAGCCGGTGGAAGCTGCAGATGCCAGCTTCTCGTGCCTGCGGGCCTTGGTGCCAGCCCGCCGGTGGGTATGGAACCTGAGGTGGGAGAGGGGAGTGTCGGGGAGGTGGGAGTCCTCGTGCTGTCCCCGGCGGCAGCCACCTACTCACCTGAAACGAGGAGAGGGTTGGGGAGGGGCTGTCTTGGACAGAGTGTCACCGTGCTTCCATCTTGGCGGAATCCTCGCAGGGCACGTGCACTTCAAAAATAATCCTTAGTTGTTCGGATAACGGACAGCGGTAGCACTTATAATTTGAAGGGCCAGAAAAAAAAAAAAGCCCAAAGAACTGCACACTGATTTGTCCTCAGCCTTGGGAGTTCTGAGTGTAAATCCTCTTTCTGTCTGAACCTTTTCCTTTTCATTATCATTAGACAGTAAAACCAGACCATCTCCTACGAGCTTCTGCCTGTAGTTTTGTTACTATTTGGACACTGGTGTAGATGCCTTGGTCTCAGAGAGTCTTACACAAGTGAAAGAGATTTGGGAAGAAACAAGGATAAAAGAATCATTTACATGAATAGTGCCATGCTGGCAACAGTGGTGACAAGATGAAGTTGCGGTGATAGACCAGCATAAACACAGAGATGATTTATTGAAAATAATATGTTGCAAGAAGAGACAGGCCTAGTGGGCAGATTCTTGAGAGAGACAGAGAGACAGAAAAATTCCCCTGAGAGGGAATAGTTCTTTTAAAAAACAGTTATAGGGAACTTGCTTGGATAAAGAGGTAGGCGAACATCTCCTTTCCTTGTTAAGTAGTAAATTTTACAACACCATGAGTCTTGGCTGTTTGGATAGTGTAACTAAGAATCAGACTAAATGTATAAGATATCACAAGTCACTAGGGCCAGCCCCAAGTATTTAGGGTCTCATGTTAATATATGAGAGTTTGTTTTGTTTTGAATCTCTTTTTGTGTTTTTGTCTCTACAAACAGAATCAGGAAAATCCAGGGAAATACTATTCAGCTCACTAAGCTCTACCCCTGTGACAGCAAGTCAATCCTAATGGAGCCCAGTTGTATTAAAGACTGTAAAAGAATGTTGCACTATATAACTGAAAGAGGATAGGCTTTTTTTAAATATGTGCTCTATTTAATATGACCCCTGGGCCTTTTGAAAGCAGATTTGGGCAGAGATAGTCCCAGGGTTCAGGTGTAGACCTACATATTGGTTTCCATCAGAAACCAAGGGGGACATCTGGAGCCATAATGTCCTTTAACAATCTTACCAAGTCCTTCCAGCCTTTGAGTGTTGAGGCAGGGCGATGTGCCTTCAGAAATCTGTTGAACAGTCTTGTTAGTCAGTTTGGTTTTGTTGATGTTGTTGTTGTTTTCCAAGACTGGGTTTCTCTGTATTATTTTGGAGCCTGTCCTGGAACTCAATCTGTAGACCACGCTGGCCTCAAACTCACTGAGATCCGCCTCCCTCTGCCTCCAGAGTGCTGGGATTAAAGGCGTGGGCCACCAATGTCCGGCGTTAGTCAGTTTTAAAAGACCACTATTTTGAAGTCTGGTCAGATGTGCCTGTGAGGCAGGAGGATTTTGGGTTGGAAACCAACTTGGACAATACAGCAAGATCATGTCTCAAAAAAAAAAAAACTCAACAAAAACAAACAAGAAATACTCAAAAACCAGAGGGTGTTATTCTGTGCCCTTATAAAATGCTTCCAGCTAATCTGACCCTTCATTTTAGTACGATGTTCCCTCATTCAGCAGATAAATGCCTCAAGTTCATTCTCCCATACTAGGCTGGAAGCACAGATGCAGAAATGAACAAAACATTACCCTTCCTCTCAAGTCTGTCACATGATTATAATATAAACAATAGGTTAGTCTTTATATGGTGAATATATATTTTTCTCAAAAATTACCTTAAAGTATAACATAATTTTTAGCCTGATTTTGATCTGTCACTCTGGTTAAGTGACATAAATGACTTTACTTAACACCCTCCAGACTCATAAATCCATCTATAGATGCTGTCTGTGCGTGCTGGATATGATTAATATGAGTATACTATGAGCAGTGTTAATAAGTGTGAAATTGATGGTTCTGGTAATATTACTGTTAGTACTACAGTCAGGCTGGCAACCATCAGTCACTTTTAACAGCTTGCCAGGTTGAGCTGGAGGTTCTTCAGGAACTACCTTTTGCAGAGGTGCAGTGCAATACTCTGGTCAAAAGCAGGGCCTCTGAAGTATCATCTGGATTCAGATTTTAACCCTGTCACTTGTTTATAATACAACTACAAGTAAATTGTTTGCACCTCTGTGCCTCTCTCTTCTCGACGGCAAATGGCTGTAAGCTCTTTGGGAGGCTTGTGTAGTACAGTATGCGAATTAAACGCAGAGCACTCTGAGACCTTTCTGACACACCATAAGCCCTTTTTTAAAGCTTTCACAGAAAGCTGATAATAGAATTACTGTCTCGATGGGGCTCACATAAAACTTAAGGAAGAGAGTGGAGACAATGTGGGACCTCTGACCATCAAGAAAAAAGAAACTTAATGGACATTTTCAGTGCTGCACCCCAGAGTGTTGTGATGTCACCTGATTGTCTAATTAGAATTAACCAATGAGATGCTCACTCTGTCTGATTGGTCTTCCTGGTTCTAGATGTGGTTGGTACATTGCAAATCACAGCTTTTGTATTTATGGCATCAGCTTTGCTATTGGAACATCGTGGTGCACATTTGTTGAAAGAAGAAGGAGATAAAAAAGAAAGGCTAAACAGACCTCATGGTATATGGCTTATTTTGGCCTTGTAAGGATCCATTCCTTTACAGTAATGGTCTTAGGATACAGTTGTATCTTGAGGCTAATGTATTAAATTATTCTTAAAATCAAAAAAACAAAATAGAGTAAAATGCATAAAGAACTGGAATTTGTCAAGTTAACTGCTAAACTCTTAAACTGATAATCAGTCTGGTAGATTTATAAATAGAACAGATATTATGACCTGATTTTGTGGGTCAACTAAAAAATATGTGCATTATTATGTATACAATGTTCTGCCTGCATGTATGCCTGCAGGCCAGAAGAGGGCACCAGATCTCATTATAGATGGCTGTGAGCCACCATGTAGTTGCTGGGAATTGAACTCAGGATCTCTGGAAGAGCAGTCAGTGCTCTTAACCTCTGAGCCATCTCTCCAGCCCAGCATTTGTAATTTTTATGCATCAAACTCTAAGTTTTAAAAGAAAACAACAGCAAATTCTTCCTCTGCAAATGACATCAGGGCCACAACTTTCCTGCCTGTCCTGTCCTGTCTCCGGTGATTCTGGCCTCTCAGGAGTTGGCCTTCTGCAGAACAAAATCCTGATCCAGAAAGAGTTAGCTTTTCAGGAGGGGGAAAAATCATTGACATACTAAATGTGAATCTATTTCCTCACTGTATTTAATCTCCAGAAATAAAATAATAAAAAGTCAAAAAAGAATTACTGTCTCATTTTGCATGTAGGAAGTGAAAATCCACAGAAGTTCAGCAACTTGTCTGAGGAGAATGGTACTCCAAGCCTAGTCCAATCTAGTTCGCTTAATCAAATACTGGTGCACTTGACTATTTCTATGATGTATTTAGTGTAAACTCTTAGAAATTATTCGAATGCTTTAAGTAGAGTGGTTAAAATAGCTGCTTCTGTGTAGATGTTTGTGGGGAAATTCTAGGCTCAAACTCGAGAGAGCTGTCAAGTTTTAATTTTGAACAAATAATCCTCCTGCAATCTCCAGATCTTTAAATAAGGAGTACTTTTTAAAAAGCTCTTTGTTCACAAGTCCTATTATTCACACTTAATTCAAAACTGAAAAGTTACCTTTTTTTGCAAAAACATTGAACTCTGAATAAAGCAATTGACTCTGAAGATTTTTGATGGACAGATGGCTATACTGCAAGCAAAACCAAAATGCTTACTGTTACAATTTAGTGTTTCTATTTTGCAGATTCAGAAGTAAATACATTGCATCTGGGATGTACCTTGGTAGGTAAAGGGCTTGCCTGGCAGATATGAGGCTCTGTGTTCCATCCCCATCCCCAGCATTGATAAATCATGCACAGGGGCAAGTCCTGTAATCTTAGCACCCAGGAGGTAGAAGCAGGAGAACCACAAGTTCAAGGTCATCCTTGGCTATATTGTGAGTTTGAGACTAGGATGGGATGCATGAAACTCTATTTCAAAACAAATAAACAAAAACCAAATAAGTGTGTGGTTAACATCATGCTATACTCTACCTCATTGATGGAAATTTGAGGCTTACATACTCTCAGAAATTTGTGTGCTATTTATTAATACACTACACGAATAATCTTTTCAATTAACAAGGTCCCCATTTACACTTGTGTTGTAAATCTCTTCTGTGCAAACATATGCTTAGACAGAGGGGAGATTAACTTGAGTATCCTTTCATTAATACAGAGATTAGGAAGTAGCTGTCAGACTAGTTTCCAGAGTCTGAATGAACTACAGATCATCAAATACAACGACTCTCCAAGAAGACCTGTTGCTTCGGGGGTAAGTAATGCCAAGTTACCCTTTGTTAGACTGTCTACTCAGTGGAGATACCCAATAAGAATCAATTGATTTTAAATACTTGTATAGCCTCCATGGTTTCCAGTGACCCAGATCTACAGGCAGCACCTGTCAGCACTTTGATGACAGTGTTGGATATGAGTTAGGCTGGCAGACAGGCAACCCTGCACTTCTGTGTATCTATAAACAGTACATATCACAAGTTTCCTGGACCTCATCCTAGAATCTTCCCTTTCAATATATCTTGTGGCCTATCACAGACCATCCTAGAATGTTTGAATTGGAAGAGACTGCAAATGGAGTAGCCTGCAACAAATGCTTGTGTCATACTATGCAGGCCATTTGGGGAACAAAAAAGAGTCCTTATCGAACACGGTCATTCAGTAGTGTGCTGCTGCTTTAGATACGAAGGCTGATGCAGAAGTGGGGACTGGTGCCACTCGAGGACACAGTGAGCACTGAGTGAGATGAGGCAGAGATGGGGCCAGATCCCAGACCTCTAGTGGCACACACTGCATTCTTGGCACTGCACGGTGCCTATGAGCTGTTTGTCTCTTCTTTGCAGCATGCTGGCTCATGCAGTTCCTCAAACAGTAGGATGGAGCTCTCCTGGGCAAGTCCATTTTAGGGGCGGTGGTGTGAATAAGAGTATGGATCTGGCAGCTCTTAGTTGTTTTTCTCTCTATGCACATTTCCTCCTGGAGCTGGGCTGTTTGTGTCTGTGACACATAAATTCTTCAGAACTTCTTTAAGTAGAAACCTGGAAGAAATGAGGACTGGCCCCTCTCATTGCCCCTTTTACTTCCCTTGGCTCGTCAACATCTCAGGGAACAGTTAGTTTGAAGGACACAGGCCATGGGGTAGCTGAGATTGGCTCCTGGTCCAATTCCTATAAATGTTGGTGCTGGCCACCCCTTCAGATTTTGCTCTTGTTCTTTGTGGCACCAGCAGCTCATGCAGGAGCATCATGTGCTCAGGCCCTGCTCCCTGAATGAGTGAAGACATGAGATGGGCATCCTTGTTTCTTTTCCTTTTGTTTCTTCTTTTTCAGTACTGGGGATCAATCCCATGTTTGATCATGCTAGGCAAGCCTTGCTCACACCAGGCATGCACTCTGCCACCTGCAGCCACTCATGCTACTAAAACTGCAGCCCCTAACATGAGCTACTTTGAATTCATAATTCACCCTTTCTTTTTAGTTCTAGCCTTATGAGCTAATGAAGGCAAATATAAGTAAATCTGAAAAAAATTCTATTCTTCCTAGCCTTAATATAATATTCAATACTAATGTAATGATGTAATTTCTAGGGCTGTTGTTCTCAAACTCTTTGGCCTCAGGATCTCAGGATTCTTTTTCATGTTTAAATTTTACTGAGGATCCCAGAGACCTTTTGTTTATGTAATTTATTGGGATTAGATTCCTGCTAACTATTTTGAATATGATAATAAAGCTGAGAAATTTAAAAATATTTCCTACTTAAAACTAAAAGTAATAAAGCTCTTACACAGCACAGTGTGGTAATGCCCAACTAAACTAACAGCATTTGGGAAGCAGAGGCAGGAGGACTGCAAATTCAAAGCCAGCCTGGCTACAGAGTAAGCTCCAGGCCAGGCTATGAGACTCTGTGTCTAAAAAACAAACAAAAGCCTGTTGTGGGCCAGGTATAGTGGTACATGACTTTAATCCCAATGTCGGGAGACAGAAGCAGGCACACTCCTGTGAGTTCTATGCCAGCCATGGCTACGTAAATGGCATGATTTATTAAAAATAAACTTTCAAAAATATTTAGTTGGAAAAAGTAGTATTGAGTTTTTAAGTCTCTTTAGTATGTGATTTAAAGAGAAGACAATTGGATTATCACACTAACTTCTTCATTCTGTCTCTCATGGTATATTGAAATAAAATATGTAGAAAGAAAAGCAGGCCTTGCACTAAGATGAAGGGAGATCTTGGGGCTCTGTGAGAGGCTCAGAAATGCCCCCGGCATCCTTGCTTTGAGAACTGTTGGTCTAGGTAGTTAGCTCCATGATCTCATAATAGCCTCATGATGTTTGTGTGCAGTATTAGAGAAGTGATGCAAAGAAATGACTAGAGATGGCAAGTAAGAAAGGGGATAGCTCTCAGAGCAACTGGGCCCTTTTTTTTTAAGAAGCTTTTCCAGGGCTAGTGTGATGGCTCAGCAGGTAAAGACACTGCTATGTAAGCCTGATGATCTGAGGTCAATCCCAGAACCTATGTGGGGGTGGAGGGAAAGAAGTGACCCCACAAAGTTGTCCTCTGACCTCTATACTTGCACCATGATGCATGTGTATGCACATGTACACACACACACACACACACACAGAGAGAGAAAGAGAGAGAGAGAGAGAGAGATGACTTTTTAATTGTCAAAGAAGCTTTGCTAATACAGATTACATTTTATTTTTAATTACATGTTCATAGTATTTAATTTATTGAGGTAGAGTACTATATAGTTGCATGACATTTTTGTTCCTTCCAAAGGAAACTGTCTTTAGGAAGCAGTCACATACACCTCGATGCTAATCACACTACTAATGTTGTACCTAATGACATTCAGCCTATGCATTCTCTCCATTCCACAGGGAACACACCTCCCAGAGACTGCAAGGGATGCTATTACTGAACTGCCAGTTGAAACCAGCTCTTCCTCAGAAGGTTTGCTGTATGCTCTGGGCTGTGATGGGGAAACTGCAGAGCAAACTCAGACACAGCACTTACAAATACAGGTAGATCACATCCTGGGGTCCCCACTTTTATACGTTCCTTTACAGTTCTCTACTAAGGAAAGGAAGAACTGTTCTCTTCTCTTCCCCTTGGTTTGATGTACTGTCTTAGGTAAGAAATGGTCACCTCACCATTTCTTACCTGCACTGCACACTCTGGGGTCCTGTATCTTTGGGAGTCATCTCTAATGAGAACAAAGACTCCTTGCCTCAGGATTCCCCGTCATCAAATTTCAATAACCCAAATAAACGGCACTATTTTATTTCTGGGTATTTCCCAAACAAAACTGTGGGTCTCTTTTCTGTCTCAGCCTGGCCTGAATTGCTATCATTGCCCACGTTATTCCGCCCTCTGCTCCATTCCCCGGCAGTGGGCCTCATTTTCCATCCTCTCTGTAGCAGGCCTGATGGACTTACAGAAGAGAGAGTTCAGATTAAAGCGTCCCAAGAGTACAACCCTGCTCACGTGGATGCCGTCTCTGTGGTTGCTACTCTGAACTCAGACCTTTGTGTCTCTGGAGGAAAAGACAAGGTGAGGGTTTCATTTCTCCCAAGAAGGCAACTCACTGCTGGAAGGGGAAAATGTCCTGAGAGAGAGTCTGACACTGCATTTCTACACTGCAACAGGGCTCAAAGTTTGAAGGCTGGAGTTTAAGCCTGGGCTCTGCCACTTCCTATCACTGTAGGCAAGTCTTTACATTTTCTGAGCTTTGGTTTCTTAGTCTGTTACATGGGTAAACAGTAACACCTGTGTTCTAAAACAGTCCTGAGGATCCAATGAGAACCTCACCCAGTGCCAGGCCGCCTGCACACTTTTATAAATGGGGGCATTACTATTCCACCCGCCTCATTCTTTACAGTAAAATCAGCAAAAAGAATTTTCTGGTTGCTTTATGTTTTGTTTTCCAAAATTCACACTGGCATTCACTGACCTTTTATATTTCGGTCTTTCCTCTTGCTGTTACCCTGAACTTAACTGCTTTCTATCCTTATATTAAGAGCTATCTTGTCAGTCACTGCTGGCAACTTCAGCAACAATACACTACTGCTTCTTCCTGAAGGGAATAATACTAGTATTGTTGCTCATTTCTAATAGACTTTCAGAATCATTAAATTTTATTTGCAAACTATATTTCACCATTTGTAAGATGCATTTACTTTGGATGTTATTGCTTCAAATCAGGATACACTTGAGTATCAATACTTAATTAGTAATGTAATGTTGTGATGTTTCTTCCTCTCTGTTTGTCTGTCTGTCTGTCTGTCTGTCTCTCTTTTGGTTTTTCAAGACAGATTTTCTCTTTGTATATTCCTGGCTGTCCTGGAACTCTCTCTCTATAGGCTAGGCTGGCCTTGGACTCACAGAGATCCACCTGCCTCTGTCTCCCAAGTGCTGGGATTAAAGTGTGCACCACGACCACCCAGCAGCGTTGTGTTGTCTTAATGTCTATATTATTTTAGACGTAAGAAATTTTATTGACTCATGTGGCCTTTTCTCACACCTGTGAGAACTGAGCAGGACTGTCTGTTCTGTTATGAAGACTGGGGAACTGATAGGTCAAGTGCTACAGCTACTGGGGCCATGTCATCCTTGCTCCTTTGTAGCAATGACCATAGACACTCAGCAAGGAAATGCTTTAAGGTCCTGCTCAGGAGCCAGCATGGTGGTGATATATGTAATTCCATCTCTCTGCAGACCGCTGTGGCCTACAATTGGAAAACTGGACACATGGTGAAAAGGTTCAGAGGACATGAGCGGGAAATCACTAAGGTAATTGTCAATTGCTTATTCTGAGGGGAATTGAGGAGTGCATCAAGAAATAACAATAGCTATAGCTATTGGAGAGCTTGTATATTTAGTCTGAAGGAAAAATGCAAAGGTTTCCTTTGATGCCAGGAAGAGCAGAACAAATAATTCCGAACATGGAATTAACCAAATACCTGGCAGAGATGTGGGTAAAAACATGCCACAGTACACATACAGTAGAATATTATTCAGTCTTTTTTTTTCAAGACAGGGTTTCTCTGTGTAACCTTGGGTTTCCTGGAATTTGATCTGTAGACCATGCTGGACTCACACTCACAGAGATCCACCTGCCTCTGCCTGCTGAGTGCTGGGATTAAAGGTGTGTGCCACCACCACCCAGCTTATTCAGTCTTCAAAAGGAACAAAAGGATCTGGAGAGATGGCTGAGCAGTTAAGAGCACTAGCTGCTGTTCTAGAAGAACTAGGTTCAACTCCCAGAACCCACATGGTGCTTACAACTGTCTGTAGCTCTAGTTCCAGGGAATACAACATCCTCTTTTGGCTTCTAAGGGCACTAGACCCAAAAGTGGTACATAGACATACATGAAGCAAAGACACGCATGCATATAAATAGTAATAATAATGTAATTTAAACTTTTTAGAGGAATGAAATTCTGGGACTGGGTGTATAGCTCAGTAAAACCTAGCATGGTGAAGCCCTGGATTGGATCCCCAGTACTGAAAAGAAAAGGTGATACTCTGATAAGTGTTACTTACAACAATGACGGATGTTGGAAGCATGTTTAGTGAAAGAACAAAAGAACAAAAGGACAGTGAGGCTTAACTGACATGACAGTGAGACAGTGGTGAGCAGGGGTCAGAGAGGAGAGAATAGTGGAATTGCACTTTGGGGTGATGAAAGTTCTACTGTTGGAGAGTGTTGAAATTGTACAACAATGCAAATGTACTTGCTGCCACTGAGCTATATACTTAAAATTTTAAAGTGGTTGGTCATTTCTGTAAGAGAGAGAGAGAGAGAGAAAGAATTAAAAATAAACCTCTTAAAAGCAAAACAAAAAGGGGGTGGTAGGGGAGGGAGTGGGAACTGGGATTGACATGTAAAACAATCTTGTTTCTAATTCAAATAAAAAAAAGAATAAAAAAAAAAAGCAAAACAAATTAGCCTGATCTATATAGTGGACAGCTACATCTATACAGAGAAATTCTTTTGGAAGAAAGAAAGGGAGAGAGAGACAGAGACAGAGAGAGAGAGAGAGAGAGAGAGAGAGAGAGAGAGAGAGAGGGAGAGGGAGAGGGAGAGGGAGAGGGAGAGAGAGAAAGGAAAGAGAGAGAGAAAGGAAAGAGAGAGAGAAAGGTAGGTTAAAAGTGAGTATGTGGGGGCCGGGCATTGGTGGCGCACGCCTTTAATCCCATCACTTGGGAGGCAGAGGCAGGTGGATCTCTGTGAGTTCGAGACCAGCCTGCTCATAGTTCCAGGACAGCCTCCAAAGCCATAGAGAAACCCTCCCTCAACCCCCCCCCCCAAAAAAAAGTGTGTATGTGGGGAGGAGTACACTAAGCCATCTGCTAGTTTGAAGTCCTGTCTAGCATGTACACCTGAGCTATTTCTGTTTTAATTTGTTCTTTGAGCAGATAGCCTGTATTCCCAAATCAAACCAGTTTTTCAGCGCCTCTCGAGACAAGACAGTCATGATGTGGGACCTGCAGGGCTCCTCCCAGCCCAGACAGCAGCTCTCTGGCCATGCTATGGTAGTCACTGGCTTGGCTGTAAGTCCAGGTAAGTGAAGCAGATCTCTTGCCAGCACCTGGGTGTATTCCCAGAATGCTTGTTCACATCCCAGCTCACGGCCATTGTGTCTTCTCACCATTGTTTTTGAAGACTCATCACAGCTGTGCACCGGCTCTCGGGACAACAGCTTGCTTCTGTGGGATCTGGGTACTGGACAGTGTGTGGAGAGAGCGTCTATCTCCAGGAACCTGGTACATACTCAGACTTGGTGTAGAACAGGATGATGGAAAGGAGCGTGGAGTAAGGGATGCGTGCTGGGGGCATAGCTCATAGTAGATAGTGCGTTTAGCATGGGGGTTTAGCTTGGTTTCAGTTGAGAGGGGGCAGCTGGGAGTAAAGAGGGGAGGAAGGAAAAGAGAGTGGTATTTTCATTGTTTTCTTCAGAATACACTGTTAGCATAATTTGGTTGGGCTAGGAATAGAAATATAGCAAAGGACATGGTGTCCTGTCTTGCAGGAGCTCACAATGTATGTGTATAGAATGTGATACAAGATGGCTGCTTGCCCCTTTGAGTATGTAGCATTATGCAGAGAACAGTGTGCCCTTTGCTTATAGAATTCACTATGTAACAGCTGATTGCTGTAAACTTTGCACAGCCTTTGGGCCCTGTCACACCTGGCTTCCACACTTGTGTTTGTTGGGGGAGGGTTTCTTTTGCTTTTTCTCATCCTGGGGGTTGAACCTAAGCCTTGTACATGCTAAGCAAACACTCTGCCTCTAGCATCCACTCCCAGCCCTGCCTTTAAACCACAGATCTATCACTTATTAGCATGAATGCTATATTGTGCTATTTAATCTTGGATTCTAAATATCTCCATCTATAGAATGGGAGTCATGTCACTAGGCAAGATTCTTTGGATGACTGAGTGAGATAAAATATAACATAAAACACATGTGATTGTGCTTGGCATGTGGCAGATGTTCCTCAGAGTTTAGTCACCTACTGTTCTAGTTTGAAGTCAACTGCAGATGGTAGTATATGCTTGCCTAGTGCCCTCCATATTGTGAGGACAGTGCTGAAGAAAGGACAACTCTCCTACCCTGGGACCTGTTTCATGCCTGTCTAGCCAGGGCTGCAAGGCTAGGATTACTGTTACTCTTAGGAGCTCCTGAGGTGTTACAGCAGGGTTCAGAGGTCCCCACTTAGCACAGGGGCTGCTCTTCTGCTCATCTCTGCCAGCTGGGGTTCAGTTCTCCAAGGCTAACCATAAGGCCTGCCTGCTGGTACCTTTGCTCCTGGGCACCAAGGAGACGCAGGCAGAAGCGGACTGATTGTGAACTGTGGGACAATGATCCTGCTAACCCAAACTCACTTGAGAAGGATGAGGGATGAGTTAGTCGATGGAATTTCAGTAGAGGAATAACCTTACTGGTTGTTTTCTCCAGGTCACTCACTTGTGCTGGGTCCCCAGAGAGCCATATGTACTCCAGTCCTCAGAGGATAAGACCATCAGGTGGGCTATTGAGCCGCTGTGGAGGTGTTTCTGGTGAAGGTCTGTGGCTCCCCTGCTTACATGACTCTCCATTCTGCTTCTCCATGCTGCTGTGCCCTTCCTAGGGCTCTCTTCCCCTTCACTCCTAGCTGCTATGGGGACTCTCTGACCTGGAGCTTGTGGGAACAAGATCAGGGCCAGCTAAGGTCCTGCTCTGAATGGTGTGAAGCAGCTGACCTTGTTACTTCCAGTGTGACTGTCCAGATCAGCCTCAGCCTCACTTGCTCACCCACCCCGCCAGGCAGCCTGGCCCTGCTGTCATGCCCTGCATGATTCTTGGGATTTCCAGGCACTTAGCCCTCAGCCAGAGCCTCCCTGGGAAAGAAGGATCAGAATCTACATCAGGGGTTCAGATAAAGTCAGGAGTTCACCAAAGGGGAGCATGCCTCAAAATTCTGGATTTCTGAAAAGACTTTTAGTATAAAATGGGAGGTGTGCAATAGGGAGGAAACAATGAGGTAAGAAGCTACACAAAACCCTCAACTGGACTCCTAGGCCAAGGCTGGCATGGCAGCCTCAGCATGGGTCTGGTTCTAGAGTGGTGGCGACACTCTAGTGAGGATGCTTTCTCTGTAGCAATGGGTCTGGACTGTAGTCTGAGCACCGAGGAGGCTGAGGAATATCACAGCCTGGACTGTAGAGTAAGACCTGCTTCAAAACAGCACACAGTATCTTTTCTAAAAAATTATGCAAAACTAGCCTTTGTCCATTGAAAGCAGTGTCTAAAGGATCAAGATAGCCTATACAATTAAGATGTGTGTTCCAGATGAACAGTGGTGGCGCACACCTTTAATCCCAGCATCCAGGAGGCAGAAGCAGGCAGATCTCTGTGAGCTCGAGGTCAGCCTGATTTACAGAGTGAGTTTCAGGACAGCCAGGGTGCTTACAAAGAGAAACCCTGTCTTGAAAAACTAAAACCCAGCCAACCAACCAACCAACCAACCAAAGAAAGTTGTGTGTTCTAGCCAAATGGTGTTGATACACACCTTTAATCTCAGCACTTGGGAGACAGAGGCAGGCAGATCTCTGAGTTTCAGGCTAGGCAGTCTAGTCTACATACTGAGTACAGGACAGCCAGGGTTATACAGGGCAACCCTGTTTCTAAAAACAAACAAAAAGATGTGTGTTCTAAAGTCTCCATGAAAAGGTGATGATGGCTCAGCAGATAAAGACACGTACTGCCCAGCCTGACAGCTTTAGTTCAGTCCCTGGGACCCACACACATGCTGTGGTAAGTACAGCAACTCACCCCATATAAATAGGTGTCATTTTTTAAAAAGTCCATATGACTTGATTTCAAAACAGAAAGAATCAAGATGGCATTGATTTGGTAACTTCCTGCCAGCTTTAGAGTTTGTCAGAGTGTGACATTCTGTTCTGACTGGCAGCAAAGAGTCAAGCTCTTCCTGTCAGTGACATTACAGGCATCTTGTCCCATTTACTACAAAGCCAATTTCTGCTTCCAATTCCTTTCAGGTTATGGGATAGTCGGGGGCTTCAGATGGCTCATATGTTTCCCACAAAGCAGCAGATCCAGACCCACTGTGATGTCAGCGTGGACGGACACACGTGTATCTCCTGCAGCAGCGGCTTTGGGGGTGAAGGCTGTGAAGCCACAGTAAGAGCCCATATTGATGAGCAGGCTGCTCTGGCCTCACTCTCCTCACCAGGCATACAGACAGGCTCTGCAACAGCACTGGCCTGCTTCACAGGCAAAGTTTCCATCAACCCGTGCATTCCAGAGGCTTCCTTTAAGAAACATCTGTTAGCGTGGGGCTGTCTGAATTGGTAATAGACAAGAGGAACAGGATGGGAATCACATGAAGAAGGGCCAAACAGTGCAGGTGCTGATGTCCTTGCTCCTAGTGGAGCCTAGACAGGTAGGGACTGCTTGAAGAGCCAGATATATGCTCTTTGTATATGCGGCCATGCTAATGGAAGCTTAGCTCATGAGAGGAACTGTGGAGCTCCACAACTGGTCCAGGGCCCACCCCACCCCTTATCCAGTTATACACCTTCCTTGCAGTAATTGCAGCATACTCTCTTTAGGCCCCTCCAAAGTTCCTAGATTCATAATTGCAGGTTATTGGTACAAAGAATTATCTAGTTTCCAAATAAAAGAATTATATTTCTGAGTTATCAGATATGTATGCCATGGTAAGTATTGAACTAAGCATGCATCATTTCATTTTCTTTACTCCCTAAGACAAGCTTGTGAGTTAGGTGCTGTTTTAATGCCTATTTTACAGTTGAGGGAATGGAGACATGGCAAGTTGGAATCTCATACGAGGTACATACTCTTAGGAGGGGTAGATTAGCATGTTGCAAGCATCTCTTGTCCAAGTTGATGGATAACAGGGTCTCCTGTGAACCCCCTGTTTTTTGACACCTTTCAGTTTTCTCTCATCTCTGAATGGTACCTTCTAGATATGACCTGTGTCAGTGTAAGTGGGATTGACAGGACTGTCACATCCTTTGTCAGAGGCACTAGACATCAACTCAGAATATTTGCACCTGTGTGCACACATGAGAAGGCGTTCCTTAATGTATGGCCCTCATGGGACCCACAGATGCCAGGAGGCATGAGAACAAGGCACCCCATACTGTTCCATCATCCCACAGCATTGTGAGCTCTTGCTTCCCTAGTCGTGGAAGAGGCAGCACTCTTCCTCCACAGCCATAGCTAATGTTGTTTGAGACATAATTGATGCTACAATTGTCACTGGATAGATGGGTGGTTGGATATAATGGACAAGATAGGGGCTTTACCTGGCTCTCTGAATGCATGAGTGGAAGGGATCAGTGGGTCGTGGGGAATGGAAGATGGATATTCGTGTCACATGAACATCTGTATGTATGAGCTGGCTGGTGTTATTACTTTGCAGTTATGGGACCTAAGGCAGACAAGAGACAGAATGTGTGAGTATAAAGGGCATTTCCAGACAGTTGCATCCTGTGTCTTTCTACCAAAATCCATGGCCTTGATGCCTATGATTGCTACCTCAGCACATGACTCTACGGTGAAGATCTGGAACCAAGATACTGGAGGTAAGCAGTTCGCTCTCGATGCTTCTCAAAAGCTGATGCAGCCTGCAGACTTTCCCATTGCTCTCCCCTCCAGCTCTAAGCCAGCACCGTGCTTCCCATACACCATAATGTACAGAGTTATTCCTAAGACTTCAGAGAGAGCATGTTTGGCTCTTACAGTCTTTCTGTCTGAAGTTCCTCATCAGATTTTAACTTGTGATGCTAGCGATGTCTGGAAGGGGGTAAAGGATGCTACTTTTGAGTTCTCATTTCAAGGGTACAGTTAGAACCTCAGCTCTTTCTTCTTGGGACTGTGATGAAATGAGACCAGACTCAGAAAGGCTCCACCTGTTTGGACTCTGGAGCTGTGTTTGAGGTCACAGTAAGGTCAAGGCTCCTCATCACCACAGAAAATCCCTGTCTTGTGGCTTCCCAGAGTTCTCTATGTGCAGAGCCATACAAGTCAAATGGTGGATACCTGGAATTTTGTGAGCCGTGGCCTAATGCCTAGTGCCTCTGACATGAATTCAGTAATGGTGGGGCATGTATCCATGGAGACTTCCAAGTGCTGTAAGTGTTGGATTTTGCTCTGGAGTCTGGTTTCCCAGCACTGCCTCCACGCTGTTTCACGTGGATTGGGCTAGAGACAGGAACAGTATTAATTTAGAAAACTTCAAAATCTTCCTATAGTCACTCGCCAGAAACTCAGTTCCCCTCAGGGAGAGAAACCACCTTCCAGAGAAAAGTGGTGGGAGTGTTTAGTGTCATTCTGTAAACAGCTGTGGCCATGAACCAACCTTCCATAGTGAAGACTAGCCTGCCATCCCCTCACCTGGAGCTGGGTTCCCTGCTTTCCCAGGTGTAACATTTGTGGGTGAGGAGAAGTGGATGGTTCAGATGTACTGACCACAAGTGTCAAGGTGGGGAGCAAGTGGGGAGCATAGACCCAAACACATGGCACCCCTGCCCTGCATGTGCTCTTGGCATTCCTACAAAAGTTGCCTCAGAGATGCAGATGAAGGGATGGCCCAGTTAAAGGCAAAGCCCAGCCTTTAATCCCAGCACTCAGGAGGCAGAGGAATTCGGATCTCTGTGAGTTCACAGCCAGTCTGATCTACAGGGTGAGTTCCAGGACAGCCAAGACTACACAGAAAAACCCTGTCTCAAAAAATCCAAAAAACAAAACAAAACAAAACAAAAGAGTGAAGCCCAACCCTCTCCTTATCATGAAGAGAGCCAGCAGCTCAAACCGGTGTCCCTGTCTCTTTCCCCTGACTTAGCCTGTCTTGTTCTCTGCCCCCTTTTAAATATGGCCCTCGTTGTCTGGAATACTGCTTGGTAGCCTACATCCTACTGGGCCTGTGTACCCTTCTCTTCAGTTGAAGTCATGGAGTCTTCCCACTCAGGTGCACTCACTGTACCTTGTTGAGAAGCAGGACCCTCTTATGGCTTAGATGGTACAGGGCATGCAATGTTTCTTATTCTCATGATACAGTCCAGTTCTGTGTAATGTTTCTGTGAATAACAGACCACATCCAGTAGTTTAAATGTGTGGTAGTGCATAAGCGCACTCCATGACGTTATGGAGTGACAACACTGCCTAATGATGCGTTTCTCAAAGATGTTTCCAGCATTGTGCATGTGACTGGTTCTCCTCCTTCCCCAGCCTGCCTTTTCACCTTGTCCCTGGATGGATCAGGACCCTTGACCTCCCTGGCTGTTGGTGATATCACTTCCTTGTTATGTGCCAGTTTCTACAAAGGAGTTCATTTACTCAGAGTGGACCACAGCCGAGGGCTGGAACTTCAGGAAGTGGCAGCCTTCTGAAGCCAAGACATTGACTGGACAATATCAAACCATGGCCCTTCTTTTCTGTGTGGCTTTGTGTTTTTCCACATGATATTGGGAAGTGGGGTGCAGGGCTGGTGTTCTTTTCTTAGGGCCACTTAGAAGGCATGTTAGGGTTAGATGTTGGTTCAAGTCCAGTGATTCAAAAATCAGGGTGTTTATCTTGTTTGTTTGTACCAGGATCACTCTATGGCCCAGGCTGGCCTTGAGCTCATAGCAACCCTCCTGCCTCAGTCTCCTGACTGCTGGAAATAAAGGTATGAGCCAGCATGCCCAAGAAAATTCAGGTTTAGAAACATGGACTCAATATAAAGTTCTTGATCTCAGGTAAATCTGAATGGAGTTTTTAGTGAGCTTTTGGGACTACTCTTCAAAACAAATGTACTTATTGCTCAAGATGATGAGTTGGAGGCCTCTGTGAGAATGAAAACATGGGCTGGGGTCATGACTTTCTCCATGTCTTCATGAAGGACAAATGTTTCAAGACAGATCAAGCTGGTAGTAGTGTTGTCTCATAGAGGAAGTGTATGGTGGACAGTGAGATTAAACGCAGTCACCCCAAAGCCACTTAGGGCCAGGGAGTACAAGCCCTGGCTTTGTCCTGGGCAACAGAACAGGAGGTAGGAACTCCCACCATCTACCTTTCTGGGCCAGTGTTGCCCAGGGGTCATGAAAGCAATCACAAGGACACTGCCCCATATTATAGGAGTTATTAAGCCTGTCCCATGTACCAAAAAGCAGAGGGGATGGGAGACTATGGCCAAGAGATAATGCATTTGTAATTTGAATATTTTTATTCATATAAAAAACATTACACACCCACATTCTCCCTACCTCCCACTCCTGGGGATGGCCAGAGGCAAGAAGTCATCTCTGGAACATAGAACGAGGAGCACAGAGGGATGACTGCCTTTATAGCTGCTGGCCCCTGTCTGTCTGTGTTCAGGGCTGGCCACCATTTTCTCTCTCCCTCCTGCTATCAGGGTCAGAGGGAGAGTGTGTTCTTGAAGGCATGACCTGAGTGAAGTTCCATGGGGGCTTACCTTGAGAAAGTTATGAAATCTCCGGTTCCTCACATGTAATATGGTACTCAGTGTCAGGACAAGCTACCAGGGAGTCAGTCACTCATTATCTTGTCTGGACTGAATGCTCTTTCATAATAAACATTTACCATTCCTTCATCTGTTGTCTGGTCTTATTTTCTAAACTTTTAGCCTTTCAACTCCCTAATTTATGGATCTTTGAGCTCTGGAATGACAAGGGAGTAGTGTGATAGGAAGTTACTTCATCAAACACCTACAGTAGGCTAGTTAGATTCTCACTAAAACTCCCAAAGATGTTCCCATTTCACAGATGGAAAAGCCAAGGTCCAGAGACATACATCACTTTGTCCACAGTTACAAGCATAGTAAGAGGAAGGGCAGATTTGTATCTGGGTTTGCCCCACTTGAAACTGGGGAGTCCTCTGCTGCCTTTTGCCTTTGCTGTTTTAGACACTCATAGACCATGACATTGCTTTTTTATTTTTGAGTCTAGTTGTTAATCTAGTTCTGGAGATTAAATTTAGGATATCATTACTGCAGGCCACAAACTCTGCCACTGAAATATCCCCTAGGCCTGAGTTAACTTTTGGATTTAGGAAAGCCCTTCTGGTGGGTACCTGGGGCTGTAGACAGGTCTCCTCTTAGGACAGGGAAATCCCTAGTGTGTGCTGGATGCCTAGTGCTGCAGCTGGCAGTTTCTAGGAGACAGTAAGTTAAATAAAGGAACAGGTCAGGAGGGTCCCTCTGGTGAGTTAGAGGATTCTGCACCAATGCCCACTCCTTCCTCAACTCCACCTGTGTTTGATGCCAGATTTCCTTATTTGTGCCTAAGAAGCAGAAAGACAAGCAAATGCTCACAGTTATAGAGCCTTTTAAAAGTTGCCAGGCAGTGATGGCTCACGACTTTGATCCCAGCACTCACTCAGGAGGCAGAGGCTGGTGGGTCTCTGAGTTTGAGGCCAGCCTGGTCTACAGAGTGGGTTGCAGGACAGCCAGGGCTACACAGAAAAACCCTATCTCAAAAGAAAAAGTTATTTTGGACCCCAATTAGTATACTCTTGGTGTCGAAGATTCTGGGTGCTAAAGTCATGAATTCTTCATTTTAGAGGCTATCCTATACATTCATATAAAGAAATGTTCCAGACAGTTAATTTTTTTTCCTTCCAGGAAAGTGTGTAAGCCATTGGAATCTTGTCAATTATATATTTAAATTTTAAACATATTAACATTTATCATAGAATAAATGTACACTAAGGAGAATGGTGGTGATTAATAGTGATCTTCACTTAGATCAGGGTTAGCAGTAAGTGCAGAACTCAGGTTGCTTGGAGAGTGACCTTTAGGCTCCCAGCAGCAGGACCTTGGCTATTTCTGAGTGGCCTTTCGAAGGCAATTACCAAAGAGCAGTTTCATCATTAATCACAAGAGCTGGCTGTGGTGGTTCATGGCCATGTCCCAGTACGTGGGGGTTAGGGCAGCAAGCGGGTCAGGAGTTCAAGGTCATCATCACCTACCTCTTCTATACAGTGAGCACAGGCCAATGAGGCCACCATGCTTTCCACCTGCCCCCCACAAAAAATAATTAGGATGATTGTTAGTTGTTTCCCCAAAGTTGGCACATTTTGGCACGGGTTGGCCAGCCAATTCTCTATTCCAGCCAGGTATGCCATGGGAATAGCATGGAAACGATGTCCGTTATACTCATCTAACTAGCTTAAAAGAATGACCCCTCAGCCCCACCCCCACTTGAGGACTTCCGGCACTTGGTAACTGCTTCAGTGGCCCAGATGAGGCTGCAAGACAGAAAGAAGCCAAGGCCCCGAGTCACCTTGAGTTGAGCTACTCTGTCAGCCTGCCTGGCCACACTGTTGCTGGAAGAGAAATGAGCCTCTTTAATCTACTATATAATCATTTCACTAGGTTTAGTAATCATGAGGGAATTTTCAAATGTTTGAGCTGAAAGTTCTGACTTTTCATAAATTGAAAAGACCCTAGAAACCAAGACCTGGCTGCAGACGTGTGCAGGCCTTAGAACCAGTAGGCTTCTGTGTTCCAGATCAAGTCGGGCAGGCCCAGAATCAAAGCTAAGCCCTTCCCCTTCCTATGTATGTAACCGTGGGCAAAGTGCTGCATGACTCAGCCTCAGCTTTCCCATCTGTGACAAGGAACACCCTGTGGCGTTTTAGCGGGAATCTGGATCCAGCTATGCAGCACCCCTTTCATCCTCACGGATCTCTGCATCGACAGGTAAAGAGGGTGGTCTAGGCTTCAAGGAGAAGTTACACTGCAGGAATGAGGTCTTATGAATGATGGCACCATGGGCATCCAAGCCCAGCTAATCTCAGCTCAACACAGCCTGGCACATGAACTCAGCAGCCAGTCCATGATTCATGAGAAATGGTAAATCACTCTTGCTTTAAGACTATATTGTGGTCAGGCGTTGGTGGCTCATACCTTTAATCCCAGCACTCAGGAGGCAGAGGCAGGTGGATCTCTGTGAGTTCAAGGCCAACCTGGTCTACAGAGCGAGACAAACTCCGAAGCAATACAGAGAAACCCTGTCTCAAAAAACAAACAAAAAGACTATATTGTGGGTGGTTTGTGGTGCTTTGAGACTTTTAAACATACATGGACTGGTAGAATGCTTTTGCTCAGCATGCTTGTGACATGGACATAGGGCTTTCATGTACTTGGACACCATCCTCACTATTGGGTAGGAGTCTATTGTATGGAGATACACAGATCTGTGCATGGAATTGGTTCTTTGGTGGTTTCTAGTTCTGGACTCATGTGCCATTGCTCCTAGAACAAATGCATGTATTTGTGCCCACTCTAGAGCAAGCAGAGAACTTGCTGGGCTATCATAATCCATGCAGCCAGCTTTACAGCTTTACAAACCACTTGATATTTCCACAAAGAATTTGTATGGCTTGGATCTGGAGCAGGTAGCAGGAGAGTCAGAGTTCCAAATTTTCACCTTTGCCCACCCTTGGTGCCTTTGAACTTTACAACCTTCCATTGTAAAAATAAGAGTGCTGATGCTGGAGAATGCACTACAGGAGTGAGTTCCAGGGGCCAAAAATAGAAAGAGGCTGGACCCACCAGCTTGGCCATCTACTCTTGTCCCTAACACTTCCTGTTAAGAGGTAAAATTTTCATACAAAAATCTTATGTGTAGACAGTACCTGGTATTTTTCATTCTCACAATTACAACCCCCTGTGTACCTTCTAAGAAAATAACTCTGATAGATGGCATGGAAATTAGTATCTCCATTCTATAGAAGAGTGGCATGCCCAAGGTCCAACAGCATGTGATAGACACAGACACCAGTTCAGGTCTTGGACACACAGGCTGGTTCTTCCTGGCAAGGCCCTCTTGCTTTTAGTGGTTTTATGATGGTAGTCTGTCTGAAGGCTGAAAGGGCTGGGAATAAGTGACAGCATGTCTAAACATTACACACAGAACACCCAATTCATTCCCAATATGATCTTTCCTGGATATGGAACACAGTCACCTGTCCATTCTAAGTCTTGCACACAGACGATTGAAAAGTACAGTATCACCAGGCTGTGATGGCACACACCTTTAATCCCAGTACTCAGGAGACAGAGGCAGGCAGATCTCTGTGAGTTCAAGGCTAGCCTGGTCTACATGGTGTGTTCTAGGACAGCTGGGACTATATAGAGAGATCCTGTCTCAAAAAGCTAAAATAAAATCTTTAAGATATCTTGACCCCGGTTTATCTGGGTATTGAGTGTAAGCTGAGCCATATGTTCTCTTCTGCCTTGGCTAGTTTTGTGATTGGAATATATCGGATTTCTTTTGTAAACTTACTTTTGAAATAGGTAATACATTCAGGTATTTACAAGAAAAAGTGCAGAGAGTTTTGTCATGAAATCCATCTGGCTCCCTCTGGAGGTAAAAAGTGTGGCCACATTTCCTGCATCCTATTTTATGGACAGGTACAGAAATAGCTTTTACAGTGGAAAGACTGCTGGAATGGGAGGGTAGAACGGAAAGTGTATGTACATTTTGTTCCTTTGTATTAAGGGCACTGCGTTCATGCAGTACCCACGGAGGCCAGAAGGGGCGTAAGATTACTCGGGTGTGTGTTACCCATAGTTGTGAGCTGCTGTGTGGGTGCTGGGAACCCCAGTCTTCTGGAAGAGCAGCCAGTGCTTTTAATTGCTGAGCTATCTCTCCAACCCCTTCAGGGCCTTTGTTTTTGAAGTAAAGACTTTCCAGCCTGCATGATTTTATAATATAGAAAAATGGCAAAATAGAAAAAAAAAAAACTACCAGATGGCACAACAATTTATGAAATACATTTCTATATTTAAAATACAAAGAAAAGAGATGGAGGGATACACATGTGCAGATGTGTCAATGACTAGCTCTGCATGTAGGATCTAGGGTGAGTTTATTTCCATCTTCCAGGCGATAGTATGGCTTTGATAGTTGAGGGGTGGTTTAATCTGTGCATTAATGTCCTTGTCTAAAAAATGGAGAAGATGGTGAGAGGGCATCATCAGGGTCAAGTTCTGAAATCCACTGACCCTGGAGGATGTGCCTGTCATTCCTAAGTGTCAACAATTGTATTTACCAGAGTTTCATGTTTCTGTCCTGGATGTATCTTATAATACAAGTCAAGCGGCAGTGATAGGGGAGCAAATGGGAAAGGGAGGGAGTGGCCATGGAGAGTGAATGTCCTGAAGGCCCTGGAGACCAGCAGTGAGCCTGCACCCCCAGAGGCATAGGGATGCTGACGTGAGGACTTCGACACTGTGGGAGCCTCATGGGAAAGACTTCCCACTGTTCATTCTTTCTATAAGGGCATGTCTGAGACCGGGGAGAATTATAGGCTAAGAATTTCAAGAGAATGGTACAGGCTTCTAGTGAGGGCCTTCTGTGGCTTCAGTGCATACTGGAAAGAGGAAGGGCAGCCCGGATTGCTCTATGACAGCCCGCAGTCTCCTCAATGAGTCTGCAATCCAGAGGAAGCATTAATGATCTAATCCCCTCTTAATGTCGTCACTACCTTCAGCACTGTCACAAGCAAACAGCAAAGATTGGTTTGGGAGAGGACAAGCTATAAAGCATAGTGTCCCATCCCTTCCTCCTCACAATGTAAAATACT